AAATCAAAATTATTTTTTCATTTTCATTTACTAAAAGATTAGTGAAGTGATTTTCAATTAGTATCATTCTTTTATATTTTTTTTTTACTAATTGCAGCTCCACATCTTCCAGAAATATTTTAAATTAAAACCAAGAATTCCGAGAGGAAAAATGTATACCCTGCCACTTGAATTTAATGCAAGATTTTAAGAGTAATTGAAACCCCATCAAAATAAAGTGGGACTCACAAGTAAACAACAAACAAATTAACTTTTAGATAATTTTTATTAGTTTCATAACAGTCTTAAACTAAGAAAGCAGTTAGAAAATTTTACAGTTTATTGTAACAAAACAAATAATCTATTGTTCTATTTTCGCCGAATCTAAAGTCTATGAAAGACAATGCTCTAAATTTTATGCTTATTACTTAATAAATTAAATCTTCGTTTTTTTTTTTTTGCACTATCCCGAATCATATAAGCAGCTTCTTGATCACACTGAAAAAAAAAAATGCGAAAATTAAACAAATAATAGATAATTTCAAAATAAAAAATAGATAAATAAGTAAAAATTTGAAGTCAAATGACAACTTATAAAACAATTTCTAGTTCGCGACTAATGATTTCAACGTTTAGCGTTTTTTTTTATGACATAAGAACTGGCAAACATGTATTATCGCGAAAAATTATTTCAGTAAGCTTATAGAGCATTTTTAAATCAGAAGTCATTACGAAGAAATCGTCAGAGGAAGGCATTGGTTTACATTAGGCTGTCTGGCCAACTACGATGATGCAGCATTTTTATAAGCCTCTCTAAAACCAAACCGTGGATTAATATTTTCAAAGTAGGAAGCATTTCATTTTATAATAAAGGTAATCAGTGCAAGTTCTTCTATTCATTCTTATTATGTATCTACATGCTGTGCCATTTTCAACTCACTTTGATGGAGAGCTCAAAGCCACCCATGTTGCTCTCCAACAACTTGCTGTTCGTCTTACTCGTCCTGAGAAAGCTGCGATTTTTTTTCAGATTCTACCTCTGCACTTCAGGATCTGTCAAGCAATCCAGAAAATAGTAGTTCCCTTGTATTGAGCTGTAGAGAACTCCTGAAGAGGATTGAGGGAAGTGGTTCCATCCCATTGTTGTCTTCGAGGAAACGAAATGGCGGACTTTTTAGTCAAAAAAGGAACTTATATTCTTCAGAGATCTGACTTTCCATTCCGCTAAACTTGAAATAAAAAGAATCTTCAAATAATCGCTCCATTGTTTGGCATCTCATGCTGCTACAGATAAGTCCAGGAATATGCTCTGTGGAACTCACAGTGTTCCGCATTAACCTGGTGCTACTGCGACTTTTGACCGGACATGATTGTCTACATTCTCATTTATTTCGCCAAAGATGACTACTTTATCAGATTGTCTTTTATGTAACTCCGGACGAGCCATGACTGAATTGTTAAGAAGTACTGGAGAGCTAGAAGCCTAATGACCTAATAGTCAATGGTTGGCATTTCTTTAATAATGTAGTTTTTTAACGATAAAATACACATTTTCCAGTTGAATAAATAGAGTGGTATTTTTCTTTTTTTCTGCAGAAAATTTAGAAAGAAAAGTAATAATTTTTTTCTAAGTGTATATGATTAAATTTATAAAATAAATCAAATATCAACCCAAATAAAAAATACTTTTGGCATAGAAAGAAGAATTATTTTTCCTTTGTCAATGCCAAAATAACTCATAACCATGTAATAAAATTATACATGTTTCACAATGGCTTTTATAAAATTTTACATAAACCTTTAACTGTTAAATAAAGTTTTAATACAAATATTCTTGCCAGATAACATAATAAAAAATATCAAAATAAAACGATACGCCACTACTATTATACCATCTTGTAAAGCATAATTAACAGAATTATATAGCTAATTGAACTCTTTAAACAATGAATAATTTGATTGAAATGCTACATAAACTAAAAATCATCTAATTCTTTAAATATAACATTAGGTTATTCTTTTTACTATATGATACAATATGCACTTTCTTTTAAAATCTTCAAGTAAATGTGACACACACATATTGACAAATTTAACAAAAATATGCGAGACTATACAAACAAATCAAAAATTATTGCTGATTTTTTTTCAAAACATTCTTTTGTTGAAAAATTCTATCCACTTACCTTGTGAATGTGGAACATAATGAGTTTGGGAATGCACCATTCCAGCACTAGTTGGTATCATAGCCAAAGGAGTGTGCTGTAGCACATGTGTTGGAGTGCCAGCATGGTTACCAGCCGTTTGACCATGCAAATGGTTCTGTAGAGATGAGGTAAAAGTATGCGGTTGTTGCTGTAAGAGAACTATGGGTTGTGGCGTCCCTGGGTACGAGGCTGCAAACGGATGACCCTGATTCGATGATTGATGATTAGGGTGAAGAGGATGCGCAGCCACATGACCATGACTATACATGACTGGCTGGGGTGTAGGAGCGTTGCTCGGATGGCCAGTCGGAGTGGGTGGCTGACCGTGTCCACCGCTAGGGGGTGGCTGATGAACTGGAGAAGGTGCAGGATGGATGTTTGGAGTCTGGGATTGAGGAGTGGATGGTGTTGAATGTTGTCCACCATTACCACTAGTCATAGCATGTTGTAAACCAGGACCTGCAGGGTGAGACACTGTAATAAAAATGAAATGTGTTAAGTGTCAACATTTTAGTGCAAGTATAATGTACATTTTTTTGTTTTCAAATTATGTTTGAAAAATTATCGACCGGAATTCGTTTTTAAGCTTGGCATCTTCACTAATTAAATAAAAAAATATCTCTTAAAAGTAAAAAATGTTAAAATTTTTGGAAATATTTTTTTATTTACACATATTACATTAATCTTAAATCAGAGTAGAATAAGAGAAGTTAATTTATTTTTAATTCAGACATGCAATCATCAATTCAGAGGAATAAGAGCAATGTTTAAATTAGTGTTAGCAACATGCAACCACAGTGTTCACGCATTGTTCTAAAAATAATATTACTCCCTTAAGTTTTAAACACTGGAAAAAAATAAAGGGCAGTTCAACACTATTTGAAATAAAATTACTATGCTAACAGAATATTTCTTGTTCATTTTTACATAAAGAAAAGCGTTAATATATTATCAGACCAAGAATATAGCAAAGCCTGAAAATGCACAATACAAGTTAAGAGAATGAAAATATTTATAACTTGTATCCAGACTATTAAAAAATTAAAAACATTGGTGAAATAAAATAAAGAGCAACAATCTTGCTATCATAATAATTAATTAAAACTTCTTTTCAAAACAAACTAAAATTTTTTATTAAATTTATATGTTTGAGAATCAAATCAGTAACCTTCAAAGATTTTCCAGTCATTAGTTTCATTTTCTTCTTCTGCAACTGTTTAATTTGCAATTCTACTTTCCGTCTGCAGGACTCTCTTTTTTTCTCTTTTTCCTGGATATTATTCTGCTTCTTTAAAGCTTCATGATATTTCACAAGTGCTTATTTTACAAATTGTAATTTTTTTTTTAATATAGGAACCTTTAACACTCCTCCATAAAATTTTATAGCATCGTAGACAGTTCTGAGAATAACTAAGGAATCTTATTTGATATTATCAACAAGCATGTCCTTATTAATACTAAACCCATTTCTTACAGCAGCATTGCCATGTGATAATAAGAGATGTTTGCACAACTTCTCACAAATATGAATATTCTTCAGACTTTAAAACATTAAAATACGAATAAAAGTTTCTCTTTTCAGCTTCAGTAGCTCCACTAGCATTTAAGAAGCTTGATATTACTATGGTGACATCTACATTTTTTCTAAGTCTTAGATTATTAGGATCATCAAGGTCAACCAAAAATAAGCTATCCAATGATTTTGCTTATTCAAGTATACTACTTTTAACACTATTTTTCATTAGCTGCTTAACAGGAATGAAAATATTTTCATATAAGAAAGGCATCATTGGTTTGTATGTCTGAAATTGTTTAAGGAACAGCTCAAGAATATGAATCACACAGTCACATTAGCAAAAGAATATAAAATATTAAATTCTAAATTGACAAAATTATCTTTGAAAGAAATGCGCTTAAAGCAGCAGAATTTTCAAAAGAAAGAATAATTGAAGCAATAAAGAAAACAATGGAAATAAAAATACGACCACTGAAGCCGACGTCTTCAGGGGGTACCGGCCTCGGAAGCCATAAAAAAAAATTCTTTTCTATTGAGAGAGAGGAAAAATGCCAAAATTAACCCTCTCAGTACCCCGAAGGTTTTGTAGAAGTCCAAGAAAACAGAAGTACATGAAATACATAAAACCAAATCAGAAAAGAAATTTCAACAAAGTCTTGAGAAAATAAAAACTCACATTAAACCGGTCAAACAGCAATTTTACAAACAAACTAAATGCAAAGGAAACTTTAAAACAAAATAAAACAACGCCCTCTATTAAAATGCGTAGAATGAAAAAAAAATAGTAAAAGAAAAGATTACGTAACAAATTATTATACTGCTTAACTGGGGCTGCTTAATTAAGACTTGAAGTTCGCCCTGTTAAAAGAAATAATAAACTTGTATTCTTCAATCATTTTCTTAATCAGAAAATGAATATTACAATAATGAAAAGGAAAATCATTATTACTCAAATTATTCACAGCCTCCCGAAAACTTTCAACGTTATTGCAAATATTTTTAACCCTAACCAATTGTGAAAAAACCAAATTTTTGAAAATTTTATTACACAGATTAGTATTTAAGTTGCAGAAAAAAATAACTTTAAATTTAAAAGCTTTTCTTTTATCAAAAACACCAATTTTAATTATTTAATCAACAATATCAATTTTAAAATCTAAATATTCAACATTTAAGCAATTCTCATTAGATTTCTTCAAAATCAAATCTTTAGGATAAATACTATAAATAAAATTATAATTATCACTATTAAACAAAATCAAATCATCAATATATCTAAAAGCATTAAATTCATTCTACTTAAGAAATTTAGCTTCAAAAAATATAAAAAGATATTAGCAAAAGCACCAGAAAAGGAATTACCTTGTGGAATTCCAATAATTTGTTTATAAAAATCTAAACCATTAAAATGTGCATCTCAAAAAGATTAAACCTACATAAATCCAACCAACAAGATTTATCTACTTTCTCATTAAATAAATACTTATCAAAAATGCTGTTGCAAATTTCAATAATCTGTGCATGTGGAAACCTGTGTACAAATCTTCAAAATCAAAAGTATTAATGCTAGAAATATCATTATTATTATATAATCCAAAATTTCAACATTTCTATTAATAATAATATTTTTCTCTTTTTTAATTTTAAGTAAAATAATTTTTAGAAAATTAAAAAAACTTTTTACTAATATCAGAATTGTATCAATTAGTACCACACGCAATAAACCTAAATTTAACTGGACTTTTATGAAATTTAACAATAGGAAATAAATATGGAAATATAATCCTATTTAACCTAAATTTTAATCTTTTACTAAATGCAATAATTCTTTTTTCAATAACTTCCAACTATGTACTTTTTAATTGTTTAGATTTTCATAAACAAATTATTGGAATTCCACTAGGTAATTCCCTTTCTGGTGCTTTTGCTAATATTTTTTTACATTTTTTTGAAGATAAATTTCTTGAGTATAATGAATTTAATGCTTTTAGATATATTGATGATTGGATTTTGTTTAATTGTGATAATTTCAATTTTATTTAAAGCATTTATCCTAAAGATTTGGTTCTGAAGAAAACTAAAGAGAATTGCTTAAATGTTGAATATTTAGATATTAAAATTGATATTGTTTATAAAATGATTAAAATTGGTGTTTTTGATAAAAGAAAAGCTTTTAAATTTAAAGTTATTTTTTTTCCGCAACTTTAATACTAATGTATGTAATAAAATTTCCAAAAATTCAGTTTTTTTAAAATTGGTTAGGATTAAAAATATTTGCAATAATCTTGAAAGTTTTCAGGAGGCTGTGAATAATTTATTGAATAATTTGAGTAATGACGATTTTCCTTTTAATTATTGTAATATGAATTTTTTGATTAAGAAAATGATTGAAGAAAACTAGTTTATTATTTCTTTTAACTGGGCAAAATTCAAGTCTTAATTGAGCAGCCCCAGTTAAGCATTATACTAATTTGTTACGTAATCTTTTGTTTTAAAATTTTTTTTTCATTCAGAGCATTTTAATAGAGGGCGTTGTTTTCCTTTGTTTTAGAGTTTCCTTTGCATTTAGTTTGTTTGTTAATGTGAGTCTAATGTGAGTCTTTATTTTCGCAAGATTTTGTTGAAATTTCTTTTCTGATTTGGTTTTATGTACTTCATGTATTTTTTCTTGGACTTCTACGAAACCTTCGGGGAACTGAGAGAGTTAATTTTGGCATTTGTCCTCTCTCTCAGTAGAAAAGGTTTTGTTTTATGGCTTCCGAGGCTGGTACCCCCTAAAGACGTTGGCTTCGGTGGTCATATTTTTATTTTTATTCCCACTGTTTTCTTTATTGCTTTACACTGTCACATGACAGATCCAGGGAATGTTTTTTTACTAACCTCAATGTATTTTTTAAAAATGGTTAAAAACTTTCAACGCACTCTCACTAACATATACATTTTCTACCCAGTGGATAGAACAGAACTTTCTATGGAAATTCTGAAGAACCAGTAATCTCTAGGAAATTAGCCCGCCTAGCTGGACTATCTTTAAATATTTCATGCAATGCTCTTAGTCATCCAGTTGATTTCTGCCCATACTGCAATGCACCATGGATTATATGTAATCCACAAGTGCCCAGATCTAATATTTGGCAATCATTTTCAGAAAAAAGTTCTTCTTTTACAGGTTTAAGAAATTTTAAATTGATATTCGGTCCATTCACGCTCATTTGCGAAAGTAACCCTCTAGTCAAAATCAGGTGCAACTTTCTAAAAATGCTTGTGTGTCAAAATTAGGTGCACAAAGGGTTTGTGCAGTACACATTAAAAATACCGAATAAAAATATCTTATAGAGACTAGTAGTTGAATCACACCAATACAACATCCATTTGACATTTTTGTGAAATATGATTTAAGGCTTTATCAAAACATGCTATAAATATTTTATTAATTAATGACTTTTGAAGAGAGACTTGAAAAAAGAAGGAACTTAACATAACAAATAAGTCAAGTCATTTTCGTACAACCCAACGTACAATGTTTAGCAATATCACTATCTGTAAACATCCGTGAAAATATTTCAGCTATGTCATTAAAGGAAGAATGTGAAGCAACAAGCTTCAATGCTCCATAACAATTCAGCTTTAAAGAACTGTTCTTGGACTGAAAAGTTCAAAATATGTTTATATTTGGACATTAAATGTGAGATTGATAGATTATTTTCTCCAGTATAAATGTTTGGTACAAAATTCTACATACTAAATGCTTTTTTCTTTTCTTTTTTAAAGCAGCAAGCTTTTTTCTGGTAGCATGGCTGGTGGTCTCCATGTTGCTTAGGCTTATAACTTTTTTGCAAAAAGAACAATAAGCAAACAAATGCATTGCCTAGTGCTTCTCTCACCCATTTAACAAAATTTAAATTGATATTTTCATCCTTCCAATCTGCATTCAATGCAGATTTTAAATAGCTCATTATTACAGCAAAATTGTATTTCAAATCCTGTTTCCCCCTAAAGAAAATTCGTTCTAGATCATTCAGAACAGAAATTAAAATGATCTTAACAGATTTAAAATTAGAATTTGATTGAATAATCATAATCTAACAAATAAAATTTTCATTCAAGATTCATCCTAATTTTGTTTCCCTTAAGTCGAAGCCTGTGTTAGCCACATGTATTTCGTAGTAGATTTCACTAAAACCTTTTTTTTTGTTGTTGATTTGACAAAATGCTTATTTTAATAGATAAAGAAAATAGGCTTAAAAACAAACAGTATAGATGAAATGTTAAAAATAATGTTCTCGGTTCCATTGCTGTAAAGGTGAACTTACTATAAACATGTGTTGGAATTTGAGGACTCTCCCCATAGGCTGCTGAAGTTGGCACCATTCCTACAGGTTGTGGAGTTAAAACACGAGGCATCAGTGAATACATCTGCAAAACAAAATATATAATCTCATTTCAAAAATAAATATTCAGATATATTTATGAATGAATGAATTTAGAATGAATTTATATCAAAAATTTAAGATAAAGAGTCCAGGACTTAATTCCTATAGAAATTTGAACCATTTTCATAATAACAGGGATGAGATTGATCAAAAGGCAAAGAAGCTGAATTTCCACAAGAGTAAATTTTATGTGTGTGTAATAGTTTAGTAATAAATTCCAGACAATTTAAAATAATAAATAACTATGTGTTGACATAAAATTGTGTAATAATTAATTAATATATGAATAATTACATCGATACTTAATATTTAGTAAAAAGTAAAATTACCAATTGAAAAAATAAACTAGAAATTATATTTTTCTTCAGTTCACATAAAGGAGACAATTATTACTTTAGAATCTGCCTAGTTAAGGAAATTAAAATTACTGAGAACATACATTAACATTCCATTTCTTTTAATAAATACTGTCGCATGATTTATAGCAAAAATATCACTAACATGATTTTTTAAATTATATAGAAAAGAAATTCAACTTTTACAATTGGAATCACTATGTTTATATCATAATCTTATCCAGCTAAGGCCCTTTGAAACATATCTATAACTGTGAAGTAGGAACATATAGTAACATAACAGCTGCCATTACCTAGCAAGTGATTCTTTTCCACCACATCAACAGTTGCAATTTAGGTCAGTTTTCATTTTTTTGAAAATATTATAGTTTTGATTTGATGACTCGTCAATGACTATATTTTATAAACTTCTTATCTTGTTGTATTGCATACATATTTTTTTAGGTCAGGAGCAGAAACAAAATATTTCAGTTTCTAAGCAGTTAAAAGCGGGAATGATTAGGGAGAAGCAGGAAATGGTTTTAAAAGATGTGCTTAGGATCAACTGAAGCTTGCTCCTTCCTCCAAGGTTAGCTTTATCAATCATCTTGAATTTACTTAAGTACTTGAATTTTGAAAAATTACTTGCAATTTCTTAACTATTCGTTCTATCTGGTTGATTTTGGTGACATTTGATTCAGCATAAAATTATATATATATATAAAAAAAACCTCACTCATTTACTTAGTAAAGTTCAAGTTTTTTTCACAATTCTCCTTCAGTAAATTCAAGATGGGGGCTAAAGCTTACCTAGGGAGAAGTGACAAACTTCAGGTTTTGTTTAACCAAATCAAAACTTTTAAAACGAGCTTTCTCATAATTCTTTTCGTGTTAAAGAAGGCAAATGAAAGGACTTACCTGAGCATAGGCAAGCTGCTGTGGTGGACCAGGTGGATGCAACATTCCTGGAGGAGTAGCATACTGAATAGTAAATTGTGGTCCAGACAGGGTAGGCTGAGCAAGAATAGGTTGTCCAGTAGCTGCTTGAACGTGCACAGGCTGAGACAGGTCATGTCGTAGAGTCATTGGCATAGCTGAAAATATCATGTCTTCATACTGATAATGATCTTGATCTTTATACCAAAAGGATTTTAAAAAGGCAGAAGGTAAATTTGGAAGAACAGAAAAACTTTTTTTGAGAACATAACAAAATGATAAAGAGAAAGAAAAAACAAAAAAGGATTTTTAAGCAGAAAAAAACTATAATGCATGCAACTAAAACTTAACAGATTGTAATAAAATAATTGAAACTAAAATTTAAAAGTAAGAAACATTTTCAAAATTTTAAAGAACAACTATTATAATTTGATTCAATAAAAAACCTTATTTGGTTAGCTTTTATATAATTTAAAAAAAATATAAGGGAAGAATGAATAAATTTTACCTTATAACATGAGTTTATTTTGAAGAACCATTTTTCATAAATAAAATATTACAATGTGTACATATTTTGAATTTATGCCAATAAATTAAACAACTCTGGCTGCATGTTTTTTTAAAACCATAATTAAACATTAAATTAAAATTTATTTAGTACGCATTATTAAATTTATTGTTATTGTGTGTCACAATTACAAAAATTTTAATTTTTAAAAAAATTATATTTCAAGTAGGGTTTACACCAAAATAGGAATAAGTAGTCCAAAAAGACCACATACTTTTTCATTGAGTGGTCTCAAAATATAATATGGTAGGCAAATAAACGAGTTCAGCAATGCAAGTATATAGGTTGTACAAATAAATGTAATGCATAAAACAGCATCTACATTTTGATTTTAAAGTATTTCAAGTACCTTAAGTTTTCCATTTCAAAATATTCTTAATGCCATTCTTTTAAAATCTCCTTTTTATTTCTACAACATGCTTATAAAACAAGATTCTCAAATTAAGCAATTGAACTTTTTTTTTCTGGTTTGATTCACAAATATTGTATTATAAATCAATATCATAATTTTTTTGAATAATTTTTTTATTAATTACTATTGCATATACATGATTTTTTCAACAGTATGTACATATTTCTAAAGTGTTTTTAAAATCCTGATATTAATTGGCTATTATGCTGACAAATATCGTTCAGGATAATTCGATTGCAGATTGGCTTCTTGAAAGCTATTGAAAACAGATTTTAATGTAGGTTTTAAAATACTGGAATTTTTTTAAAAAAAATATCATATTTTTATGACAGTTTTTCAAAATTGTGCATTTCAGTAATCACTTGTTTGATATGCTACAAATCCAATCAGTCAGTTTTTTAAATCTTTTTTAGCAGTTATTGCTATGTTTATCACACGGTTTTATTATGACTTTTAAAATCCAAATTATTTTCAATGCAATAATATAATGGACAGAAAACAGGTTTTACTTGTCCTTTATGCAGTGCTGACAACATGTGCAGAGACCTTATTAGCGGTGGCTAATTCTGTTAAAAACTATTGTAACTGCTATTATGTTTCTGAACTGTATTGTGTTGCCTGTTATAGACAGATGGCGATCATGTCTAGATGTGGAGTAGAATTAAAAAAAAAAAAACGAAACTTTGCAACAATTAGGTACTTGCACCTCAAAAAATGTGTCACCTAAGAGAATTGATTCTTGAAGGGCTCGGCTTACTCAAAGAACAGAATGGAAGAAAAAAAGCTACATGTTTCAATAACCAATCAGAATTGAGATACCCACACTAAGTCACTTGCAGGCATCCCATTGTAGTTATGTGAATATGCTGGTGTGAACCCTAATTATAATTAGAACACTAATAATAAAAAAACATTGATCTTACAACTTGAAGATTACTTCAGAAGGAAATTTTTTTATTTATAAATTATTGAGCATTAGATTTAAAACGAAGCGATATACTAAACTAAAGTTAGAAAGAAGTGCCATAATAAACTAAACTCAATGACGCAACATCCCATAGAGGGCCAAGGCTTACTATGCCTATTTCATTTTTTTTAACTTTGGCCTCTATGGTGCAGGAGTGGATGTTGCGGTTGGATGGTCAACCGAAAGCGGAGCCCCCAGTGTTTAGTCCCCAAGCATGCTCAGTTCTCATTTATGAAAGGCTTAGTCAACATTGTCCGACCCGAGGATCAAACCTGCGGGGATTTAATTATCGACTATGTCAACCTTCATCTATCAAAAGGTACCTCATGATAGAATCAAGTTAACATGTCTTATATACTAGTGAATTGGTATTCAATATTTATAGTGGTAGTTACGCCACATTACTCCCCTTCCAGAATTTGATCTGGGATAGAATTCGATGAATGAATACCACTAGTTGATTCATGCTATGTATTTCAATTTTTGCTCACTACATATATATTTTCCCTTCATAGCATTTCGCTCGCTATTTTTTTCTTTTTATAGCTTTTGGCTATTATAAAAAAAAATTTCTCATAATTTTTTTGTTAATAGCATTCGCTCTTTTTTTTCTTTTTGTTGTTGTTTATAGCATTTCGCTCATTATTTTTTCTTTCTTCATTATTGTTTTTTGACCGGGAGACTTTAATTACTTCACCGGATTTTTTTTTCTTTGAAGCAGTATATTTTTAAGCAAATCAACTGCTTAATGTGGATCAACCATCGATATTGGCATGTTCTTATCACGTCCACAGGTCATCATTGTAGAGTTGTTTTATCACTTTAATACAAGAGAGACTTATTCAGAAAGTTAGCAAATATTTATTCACCATATTTGTTCTATTTTTCATCCAGACTGTTGCCATGCAACATACAAGAAATGATTTATAACCATCTTGCTTAATCGATTCATTATCGATTAAGAATAATACTACAAACCCAGGACCCGTGGCACGAGAGAGCAAAGCACTACCACTCAGCGCCATTGGGTGTCTTGAAGTGTCATAACTGACAGAAAATATGATGGGATAACTTATTCATTACAAATCTTAATACACAAATCTTTAAATAGAAAAAGATAAATTCTGAGCTAAAAATGAACTATTTGTATTTTCTGCAGAGGTAGCAGCAAAGTTTTTTTAAATTTTAGGGTAATTTTAGGAACTTTTTTCAACAAATTTTAGGAAAATTTTAGGGGTAATATATGATTTTGCTAGGATAAAAACAGATCACACGGTAGTTTATTACATAACAGAAGATTATTACAATTCATCCACACATATCATAAATAATTGCAAGCCATAAAATAAAGCTCTGAAATTTATTAAGTCAAGAATGAAATCTCTAAAGTGTAAAAATGAAATTTCAACTTTACATATTACCTATCAGAAATTAAGTGCATAATTCAGGAACAGGCAAAAGTGAGAATAAATCAAGAGAAAAAATAAATTAACACCAACTTGGATTTTTATTTAATTTTTACCTTCTTAATCAAAACTTTATTATTACCCTTTACCTTACTTTATTAAGAAAAACTATTGTGTGATATTATTAGATTTCAAATCAGCAATTTATATTAGAAGTTAGAGAAAAACAAATTAATCATGATCATTTTTCTAATATATTCTTGATATGATTTGTGAGATTCTTTTACTGCCCTCAATAGTGTTGTGGTGATCTTCAACACTCCTCCATAATTTCGAATGGTATCTTTGATTAGTCTAAGAGACATAATAGTATTCTCATGGTGACTCACATTAAGCATTGCTTTATTTATCGAAAAACCTCTCTCAGGATCAGAATTCCCATGTGGCAAAATTAAAACAGTTTTAATTAATGTAGTTAAATTCTTATATTTTAGATTATTGCTTTTTTATTTATATTTAGCCTATAACTCTAATTTTTTAGGAACACCAACAAACTTTTATCAGATTTTTAGGGTTTGCACATAGTTTTAGGAATTTTAGGAGGAATGCTACCCCTGTTTTTGTCTAGCTGAAGATACTTTTTAAGTCTGTATTAGAGAAATAATAAAGTTAGAATATACCTTTCCTGAACCTAGGTGCTTGAGCCACTGATGGAGCAGGAGTAAATGGAGGAGCCATTGAAACAGGTGTGGCAGACACAACATAATGAGGTGCCACATTAAACATAGGCTGGGCCATACCAGGCATTAGATGAGGTTGAGGCATAGCCATTATGGGGCTCTGACTGTGAAGTCTTGGTGGTGGCTGTACGGGTGGAGGCACTACAGCTTGTATTGGAACACCCCTCTGAAACATTTTGCATTATATTGCAATGTAACTTTTTAAACTAACAAACTGCATAATAGTTTATGAGTAAGCTTTTTTAAAATATGCAACATATTAACAAAGCTACCAACCCTGACATTTTAGATTCCCAAAATATTTTAAATTTAAAGTGATAATGAAATAACAAGTAAACATTTTATAAATTAGGTACATTTTTTATGCACTGTTGTTGCAAAAATCATTTTGAATCAAATGTTTAGGCACATTTAGGCATCACTTTAAATATGGGGTGAAAATCTCTGGCTCTTAGCTCAAAGCAGTGGCAACTCTGCATTAAGGATGTATAAATTAAGGAATTTATTGGAAATAAAATTCATAACAAGGTATGGCTTTAAAAAACTTAAATACAGTACAGAACCCGTTATCCGGAAATTAGAAAACCAAAAAACCGGAACGAAATTCTATAAATTTTCCCGCCATTTTTAAAAAAAATTTTTTTTACTCATAAGATTTCAGGATTTTTTGTTCTTTTTTGAAAGATGTTTACCTTACCATCATTTTGGAAATAATCATTAGTGTATTACTCAATCGTTTTTTCTTATTTTTAAGATTATTTCTAAATAAATTTTTTTTTTTTTAGTTGGGTTTAACAATAAAAAAAAAAGACTTTTTGTAGCGATTCAGAAAACCGGAAAAATCAGTTATCCAGAATAGCGATGGTCCCGATAATTCAGGATAATCTGTTCCCTACTGTATATAGAACTGCGTTTTATCTACATAAATGCTAGGGTTCAAAGATTTTTAGAATCGATTCATTCACAAAAAAGAATTTACAATGCACGAGAAAAAAAAGAATTGTTCAGAACAATAGAAATTAGCACATTTCTTAAAGGATAAATTTTTAAATTATTTTTTTCTCCCTTTTTATGAAACAGGGTCAATTCAAAGCGGGTTCAACTCAACTTAAATAAAAAGGGAGGTAAAAAGACAAAGTATGTTTACTGTAACTTTATATTATTTCTGCAGAACATCAAATAAAAAAAGTTTTAATATTAATTAAAAATTAAGAAAACAAATGAACAATTTTAAAACCATGAAAATATGAAGGGGAAAAAAATTTAAAACCAAAAAAGATACATAAGCACTTTTTAAACATTTTAAAAACAGTTTTATAAATAAGGTTTAAAGATTTTAAGAAGCCATACAAATCCTATAAAACTGATTGTGAAACAGAAAAAAAAAATCCAAGGTTAATTTGAATAAAGTTAAAACACTCGATTCTCTCGTTATTTAGTAAACAGGCACATTTTGGAGAATGTTTCTTTCCTATACCTTTTCCCCTTATCTAATAAATTGGTGTAATTAAACTAAGATTAAAACATGTAAAATTTATCGACTTGGCAAAATGTTCCTACCCTAGTCCTTTTCCTATCTTATAATATTTGAAATCTGGTTTAATTAAATTAAAATTAGGACAAACTTCTTCGAATTTTGTAAAATGAGCCAATTTTGTAGAATGTTAACTCCTATACTCTTTCCTCTCACAAATTAACATTGGTTTTAGTTAGAATAGAGAAAACTGCAGGTAGAAATTTAACTATATGCATTACTTCAAAAAACTTACACTAACAAGGAGTTTAAGACTTAAAAACACTCACAGGAGTAAAAGACTTTGCATTGGGATTGAAGACAAACTCTTTTGCATTGGGATTTAAGGTAAAATTTTTTGGACTTTCAGGAGTTTTCCTGTTATCAGGAGTCCTTCTTTCTTCCTCTTTTTGTCTCTCCTTGTGATGATGCTTAGCTGGGTGAGCAGACGAAGTCGCAGGGTGTACATCAGGTTTTTGGACACTATCCAGAGTGTCTTTGGGATCTTCTGAAAGCTGAAAACAATAAATAGAGTTATAATCCGAAGCAAGTTAAGAAAAGACCATTGCAGTATAAGTAATCCTCCGCGACAGCATATAGTTCCATTATATTTCATCATCAAATTATACAAATATATTTTCAAAACAATATAAAATCTTTTAAAAGTCAAACATGCCAGACAGTAACCTAATTGGTGTAATTAAATATTTTTACAATTGATTAGAGTCAACTCTGGTAATTCTGCAAAGATTAGAAAAGATACAACAGAATACACAATTTACAATATTATATTTCAGTCCTCAGGAGAGAGAAAAAAAGTATGACACTAATTTTCATCATTCAAAATAAGTTTGAAATGTATGCTTAGCATTGTGGACAGAAAAGAATAGAGTAATCCAAGTTCATTACTCTAGAGGAGAGGTAATTATTGAGTGGTATTCACAGGAAATCCTAAAAATATAAAAAATAAATTTGCAGATCCACTAAAAAGTGCCAAGGATTTGAGGATGTACGAAATTTTTATTACGATATATCGTCAAATAGAATTCACAATATGATGTAACATATGATTTGATTTACTTCTTAGAAAGGAAGGTTTAAATCAAAACTACACTGGTAGAAATCTTAAAACAATCTTTAATAATAAAAAGATAACCTTAAAAAAAACATGTTTTTTAACATCTTTACAATTTTTAATTTAAAAAAATTAACTACCCACCGTTAAAACTACCACCACTAAAAACTAATTACCAACCGTTTATTAAAATCACTTTCTTTTTACGCTCTTTTGATTTTATTAAACGGCTGATTTTATTAAGAAGCAATTCAACATTTGAAAAAAAAAAAAAACTCATTTTTACGATGTATTCTAAATGCACACACTTTAAAAGCTGAAATAATGACAATATTAATGCTTTATTTTAACTAATTTAATTATTTTAATAAAGTAAAACCCTACATAAGATTAAATTTACAAAATTTTTGCAAAAAACTGATCAATGGTTGCCTGAGTTGCAGTATTTAAAGTTAACTTTTCAACATCATTTGAGAGTTTATAGAAGTTTTTATAGTTTTCGATATTTCCTCCTCTTTGTTCTAAAGCTTGCCGCAATTCAGTGCATTTCTGACATCCATTGAAGATGGCACTGATGAGTTTATTTCTGAGTCTGATTCCTACATTTCTTGATTGGAAATAACTTTGCAAATTTTGATATCTGCATACCCTCCAACTTATGAGGATTTTGAAAATAATTCTTTCCAGTGGTAGCGAACCAAAGTAGAAATTTTTAAAGCAAATGGATCTCTCATGAAACTTTTATCAGAACTTAAGAATCTAGCCACATGGCATACACTTTTATAAGTAATAGTGGACAAGTTACACTAAAAGTAATTTTTTTTTAAATATTAAGACATTAATTTTGCTACCGTCTGAAAAGAAGATTTCTGAAACTACGGAAATTCCGTAGCAGTTGGAGGGTATGTATCTGTAACAATTTCAGAATTAGATTTTTCTCCTGATGTTTGCAGGTTATCGTCAATAGCTAAGTAACGTGAAAAATTCTCATCCATTTCATTTTCTTCATTGCTGAGAATTTCTTCGAAACAGTTATCAGCTCCATCGCCAGTGCTTAATCCACACTTTTTAAAGCAATTTGACATTGTTTGGGTTGAAACAATGTCCCATGAGTTACGAATCAAATGCATTGATTCCAAAATAGTAAGGGATTTCGATAGTTTGTTTGCAGTTAAGAGTTCTGAAGAGCTGCCACAGTCTATGTCACCAATGATTTTTTGAACAACCATTTTTCTGTAATGAAACTTGAATGATCTTATGATTCCCTGATGAAGGGGATGAATAATAGCTGTAGTTTTGGGTGGCAAAAACACTAATGTTTTTCAAATGCAAGTCCTCATCAGTAGGGTGCGCAGAACAATTGTCTAAAAGTAAGACAACCTTTTTATTTTTCAGCTCCTTGTCCCAGTCAAGAAGAAATTTTGTAAAGACGCTGGATGTCATCCATGCAATATAGCTGTTGGCATAACTGGTAGGCAGGTGTTTTACTCCTTTAAAACATCGAGGTTTTAAACTCTTTCCTATCACTAAAGTTTTTTCCCCCACAGTTCCTGTCATGTTGCATGTTAGCAGCACGGTTAGTCTTTCCTTTATTTTTTTACATCCACCAGTCGATTCATTTTTAAACAGCAGTGTGTGTTCAGGAAGTGCTCGGAAAAATAACCCTATTTCATCTGAGTTGAAAATTTGCTCTGGTTTATAGTCTTTGATGAGTGTTGGCCACACGTCGTTTACCCAACCGGCGGCAGAGCTAAAATCAGCATCTTGCTTTTCACCATGTAATTTATGATAGACAATGTTGTTGCGGTCTTTCCATCGGGTTAGCCACCCATCTGTAGCTTCAAAATCAGAATCACCAAATAAGTTAGCAAAGTCCTGCGCTTCGTGAAATAAAATCCCACGGGAAATTGGAATTCTTCATTCGCGGTATTTTTGAACCATTCTAACAGAGCCATTTCAATTTCCTCCGATTTTCCTTCATGCTTATGCTTTCTTGACAGATTTCCATTCTTTTTTATTTCCTCTGAAATATTTATCCTTTGTCTAAGAATGTTGAATGCTTAGTTCTAGCAAAAATAATTTACATGAAACAAAATCGAAAGGTGAAAAACTAAACAAGATACATAGCATGCTACATCCTGCCACTCATCCATGCCATCTGCAAACTACCACAAAATCCTGATTTCTAGGTGAAAGTGTGTAATAAGCAAAAGTATTTAATATAATTAAAGACCATTCAAAATATAAAGAAATAAACCACGCAACTAGGGAAAACTGACAACCAACATAGGTAGCTAAAAGTTAAATCCTTAGATCGTGCATGTCTTTTTACGTTCGCTTCTTAATGTATCAAAATGAAGGCCACTATTTTGGTGCGCTTACATATGCTTTAAGTCAATATTTTGTGATGTACCGAAATATCCCCCAGTCTTAAGGGTTCAGCTTAATTCCATTGTCATACGTAGAAAGAATGTGGTGCTTTTATAAGTTAAATATTGTCAATTATAGTGATATTACGTGAAATTAATAAAGGTTGTTTTCTTTGAAAATAAGCTTTTTTCACTTCTGATAGAAACATTTTACAAAAAACAGGTCTCAAAAATAGAAATTTTGGCTGTATGAGAACCGCTGATCGCAACTTCAAAATCCTATATTCTAACTATTAACAGTTTACTGAAAAATCAAATTAACTGATTTAAAGCATAGTGGAGAGCAACAGATTAGAATGAAGTAAAACATTTCGAGGAAAGGTAGATGAACGATTACATATTGCTTTTAAAGAAAAGAAATAGGGATGATTATTTTTAAATTTTGAATACTGAAGAAGGAAATTTCTGCTACGGGAAGAAATATATATGGCAAATTTGAAGTCAAAAGATTTACTTGAAAATTAAAAAACTTCCTCTCAACAGCATAAAGAACTACTGATGAATTAAATATTTTAACTTGCACAAAATAGCCACATAAACCACCAGAGTTATTAATATTTTCATAACTGAAATAAATAAAGAAAGAACAAGTAAGTTTTGAAGTTTTTTTATCAAATTATCTTAGAGGGATAAAACCATTAAAACTTATTTGTTCCTTCTTTCTTAATTTATTTATTTGATTTTTTTTCTTCAAATTATCTTCGAAAATCCCCTTCCATCCATCTGGCTAACCGTGGATGGTTTTTCAATCTTCCTAATGCAAATGCTGGTAAGTTCCATCAAAAAGTACTCCATGAAGGCTACTTTGACCTAATTGTTGATCAAGGAGTTACCTTGTCTTTTGGATTGGATTCAAAATTGCAAGGGTACGAGGTTGAGCATTGATAGTTGTAAACTCAGAATTGGGTTGAATGTTTAACACCAGATACACATAGACGCAAACTATCTTAGAGAAATTCAGTAAATTTCCATATTAGGAAAATTTTAAAAACAGGAAAAATTTAAATGTAAATTTAATTTAGTAAAGTGCAGAATTATTACGATTTTATACATTTTAAGCATTTAAACTAATTTATTTCTAGAATATCCATTTTTATTTGTAGAGATTCGTGAGTTAGATGATGAAAAATATAATTAAATCCTCTGTTGGAAAAAAACAAAATTACTTTCCCTAGTTAACTTTTTAAAATCAATTTCAATAGCTGTGAAAGCTCAAACTTGTAGACAACCTTATACAGAGAGATCTTTTAAGGTGGTTATTACTGAAATCCGAATTGGTAATCAACGACTTCTTAATCTGCTATGGGGACTAATACTGGGATCCTTTCATAAGTATGTCCTTTTAGGAAAATAGCCATACAGCTATATTTATTTATCCCAGCATTTGCTTTTATCAACACCTATGAAATGACATATATACATAGGAGAGTAACTTTCTTGAAACAGAGAATTATTAAATCAATAATTTATAATTAGTAGCTAAATAATACAAAAAAGCTGCCAATTTTTTCAAAAAAGTTGTTTTGTCAGTTTTTAGTACAAAAAAAAACTTTTGCTTCAAATTAGTAATTTTAGTCACCAGTGGCAGGCTTGAACTAATTAGATGGCTTAAAACAGAAGGTGTGCTAAAATGAAGCATATTTCAAAATGAAAAAAAAAGAAGAAATATGTTAAAATTTTATTTTATAACAATTGTTGCACAGCTGACCCAATTTTTTGGGTTTTATGACTAGTAATGCTCAACTCCGTAGCCTTGTAATTTTGAACTCAGATTACAAGGGAATTCTTGGATCAAGTATTGGGAGAATTTTGTCATTGTGGAGGACTTTTTTTTCATGGAACTAACAGGCATTTGCGTTACAAGGAGAGGAAAACCTCTCACGGTTAGCCTGACACCAAGGGGACTCTAACGCATGATCCGTCTACCTTTGAGGATATTTTACGTCAGTACCGTGGTCGGTACAAGTTGGGTGCGGAATTCGCATTGACCAGTCGTAGCTGGTATTCGAACCCGTTGGAAGGCTGACACTCTATCCTCTGAGCCACTATGTTAATATTTCTTATTTTCTTGGAAAGACAATTTAAATGATCTTAACACAACAAAATTGTAGACAATAAATAACTTCCAAATAAATCAGTACATGGCATAACAACATTTTGGAAGAAAAATGTACGAATTGTGTTAGTTTGCGAAGGACAGTATAAGAAAAAGCAATGTGCTAATTTTCTCTTCGGGACCGAAGGCACTCAACTTACTTCTAAATATGAATCTCTCAACAAGTAAATGGAAGAATAAGTACTAAAATGCTGAAAACCACTTGGAAATTATTCATTGTTTAACAATTTTGCAAAACTGTTTTAAATTTTCTATCCAAGAAAACAAGCATGTAATAATTTAATGTATGTATTTTAATAAATTTACAAAGAAAAATAAATTCATTAATATTTTAATAAAACATGAAAAGTTTTAAAAATTACTTTGAACTTGGCATGGAACCTTTTCAAATCTTCTGTTTTTTCATCTCGAGCTGCATTAAAAAAGATAATTTTACTGAGATTTAAATGTAATAAAATATTTTTTAAAAAAGCAAAATATATTCCAAAATAACTGTAAACCTTTCAGCAGAATTAGTAGAGTAGTGACACAGGTTATACAAAATCATATTTATATATACACAAAATATTTATATATCAAAAAGAAAATATATTAAAACTGGGGAAAAAAAAAACACGCACGCACACAAATATATATACATACCAAAAAAAAAAAAATCATTAAGTTAGAAAAAAGGGATGACAGTATGACAGTAGAATCTTGAGAATCTGAATTATTTGTGATCAGTATATTTTTGAATTAACAGTAATTCAAATGATCAAGAATTATAATTGTTTAAAATTATTATTATTTTTTTTTACAGATGCAAAGTTGTGTTTTTCAGCCACTATTATTTAATATGACAAAACAAGAAATGCATTCGATGATTTTCATTTACAACATAATGTCATTCAGCGATCATTTTCTAACATTGTATTGCATTATTAAGTGAAAGTTTTGTTCCCATTTACATAATAAATATTTATTCCAAGACTCTTTTAATTTTTATTAGTTGAGAAGTACCATATAATACCAGAGTAAAACTCAACCCTCTGATTTCCATAAAATTTTAGAGGTTTGAATAATAGACTTATAATAAACAAATGAGATTATGAATAATCTTTGTATTAATTTACCCTTTTCTCTCACCCTTCCTATTTTTTTACAGATAAAGGTTTTTAAAAACAATACCTAAAATTACATTCAGATAAAAAAAAACTAAGAATAAGAAAAGTTAAGATAATTTATTCAAAAATATTTCAAAAATATAAAACAATGACAAGTTTTAAAAACATGTTAGAAAGCAACAAATTCAAAAATTCTAGAACATCTGTGCCAGATTCAACAATGCTTATCAGTGTTGTCCAATCCCATTCTGCAATGAATTCTATATATGCTGAGTCCAATAAAAATCAACTTCATCTCCATCCAAAAAATTCTAAATTCCACGCTTTTTAAAATATTTAACAATAAAACTTGAATCCACATTTTGCCATGCATCAAGTATCATTTGACACACGTTTCTATAAGAGCAGTAAGGAATGAATTAATTAATTTTTCAATATTAGAAATCATCATGCCTGATGTTGGTGGGACTTGGAGTAAAGTGGGTATGTTTTTACATGCTCTGAAAAACGTAAACTCTTTAAGTGGCCGTTGGGGAAGCGTGAGATTTTTTAATTATAAGAAAGGGTCAAGGCAAGACTTGGTCTACTATCCTGGTACCAGTAGTGAGTAGGAGTTATCAACCAATCCTCCTTAATTTGAGATTTTCTTTGAGAAAAGTTCAAGATATGTTAGCTTTATAGAAGAGAAACTGCAGCCTGCCTGGTTTTCCAAGATTATCTGCCAAGTCATTTCCATGTACATACACGAGGGAAGGAATCCACTGGATATGCATATTATGCTGATGAACGAAAATGTGTTTTAATTTATGCATGATGGAGATAATAATCTTGCCACTATGTGGGTCCAGTTATTAAGATGTTGCATTGAGCGGCGGCTATCAGTCAATATTCAAAGGTTATGGGAATTATTTTTCTCAGAATAGTCTCTTATCTATTGCAAGAAGTTCACTTCTGAAAACAGAATAGAAGTCTGGTTTACACTGACATAGAGAAACTGTATGTTCAGAAGTTTCAATGAAAATTCCACTTCCTGCCTGATTTTCAATTTTGCTGCCGTCAGTAAAACAAAAACTAAATTATATGATAAACATAAAGTATGTTATACCTTTTTGTCCAGCTGTTTTCTTATCCAATTCTTTACGCCTGTCCATGTTTTTATTTGATACTTGCTGATTTATAATAGTTTCTCGCATTTCTTTGTTAGCTGATGAATGAAGATTCAATGAGCGTGGCGGTTTAGGAGCAAACTTTAAATCTGTTTTGTCAGATTCTGAAATTATTATTATAAAATAAGTTTTCTTAGGAGTTGTAATTGTACAGTGCAGAAAAAAAAATTGAACAGCCGAATTAACTTTTGTTTGAATGATAGAGTTTTTAAGAACTAGGACTCAAGCTTATGTTTGAAAGGATGACCCCAAACATGCTAACTAATCAATGCAGATGATATTTTAAGCTCCAAAATCAGACACAAAAAACATACTTTCTCCAAATAAATATAACTTTTTATCGATGGCTGTGAGCCTAAAAAATATGGTATTAAGAAAATAAATATTGGTCTAAGAAATATGTTAGGTTACGAGATATGTTGGGTCCAATTAGTTAGGTTACGAGAGCTGTCAAAAGTGCAGACTCTTTAATGTTAATTTTATTTTTTGTGTATTTTGCCACAAGGCTAGATTTTTCTAAAAAGTAAATCTGAACTTTTTTTTTTCAATAATTATTTATTATATTTTAGTTCATAAGTGTCAAAAAAATTTAATTTGTAAAGTATACCAATTTTTATATCCTTTTAAAAAATGCATTTTCTACATGGGAAAATACAAACTTCAAACAAAATGTGCCATAGTTTTCAGAGATATTGAATTTTAACTAACAGACTTTTTGAAAATTCTATTTTTCAGAAACTATTTGACAGTTTTTGCTCAAAATTTATGCTTTGCATTTTAAAATTACGTTCCTTAAAATGATTAAGAAATTTATATACAATTCAAATCTTTTGACTATTACTAAATAAAATAAAAATTCTAAATAATTATTAAAAATTATTTTTTACATGGAATTACCTTTTGATACACAAAATTTAATATTATGTGCAAAATGTTTCAATTCACTTAAAAAATTTCAAAATGTGCCAAAATATGCACAAAGGAAAATTAACATTGCGTGGGTTTAAACTTTCAATCATTCTTCTTCCCACATTAATGGAACTATATTTCCCAGGTTGCATCTATCATCCACATTTTGAAGGTCAGGAGACTAATTTCATTGATAAAAAAAGTGTGTTTATTTAGAGACCGCAAGTTTTTGCGTCTGGTTTTGTAAAATATCATATGCACTTAATCACCCATTTAAACTATAGAATTCCAATAAGTGAAGATATAATCAAAGTGTTTTTTTTTTTTTTTTTGCACTGTGTATGGATACAACATGATATATAATGATTCAATGCATAGCATAGCTATTAACATTTCTAAATAAAAGATGGCAGATTTTAGAAGGTCAAATTGATTAGTCATACTTCAAGTATTTCTAAAAAACTATTAAAAAAGAAATATTAAATTCTATTATCTTTTAAGTTATTGGTAATTTTGTAGGTATAACTAAAATTCAAAAAATGAAAAAAAAAAATCAATAGTAATTGACACGGCAATAATGGGTACTTTGGGATTATCCAGTCGACCATTTTCGCCAAACCCGATATCATCGCCAAAAGGTAGTTTCTGTGCCAATGACTGCAAATTTTATCATAATTACTGCTTAATCTGTGACTGTGTGAGTCAGCAATTAATTAATTTTGAAACATACTGTTTTTTTTCCCTTTACTCAGCCGCAAAATGATTAAAATTTGGGATTTGCCTAGCACCGAAAAGATTGCAATGGCATATTTTCAAGAGTATGGAATCATTTCTTCTAAGAAAATGTGAATGAATGGTCACAATATGGCGTAGTATATCTAATCTGATAAGCAATGTGGCGGCGACTGCATAAAGATAATAACTTGCTTGCGCATTAAAAGCTATCAAGGATTTTTGGACACCAAAATGATTTAATAATATATATGGCTAGATTCAAGAATAATTCAACATGTAATTATAAAAAAAACAAGTTTCTATTTTGTTTCCAGACTATTTATTATGTATTTTTACACTTAAATTTTTTTATTATTTGATAAATTTTATGTGTTTAGAATGTTTATTTTGGAAATTGCTTTTCATTAGGCAAAGGATTTGCATATTTTCGTGATCGTCGACGGATAATCCCAATAATGTTAATAGTTAAATTATCTTACCACCATTTAATTTATGACTTTCTTCTTGAGATGAAGTAGGAGTAGTGACTGAAGGGGGAGTAGTACGGGTAGAAGGATTTACGGGACTAGGGGTAGACGTTTGTTGAAATTGAGGAGTGGAATTATTCCCCGGCACATTAGACTGCCTTGGACTAGAAGCCGGAGTTTGACGTGGAGAAATGGAATTTGAAGAGTTCACTTGCCGGTATCCAGCTTGAGAGTTATTGCTATTTGTTGCAGTGGTTGGACTAGAAACACGCGGAAAGACCTGAGTGTGCTGATGAGAATTTCTATTCATGTGGGATGTACCATTATTTCGCATATTTCTAATATTTTGTGCAGATCTTCGCTGTCTGTGTGGTACAAACCTAATTTAAACAAACACAAATTACTAGTTTATTAACAAAAAAAGGATGAAAGTTTTAAAATAAACAGCTATTTTTATAAATAAAATAATAATTCATGTCCCCAAGATAAATTTGCACCTAGACATGGAATTATACTTTTAAATAACTACTAATGGTTTGAGGGTATCATTAAAAAAACTCTCATTAGTTAAATTATTTCCCTTTTATAAAATTAATTTTATTTTACAAATTAAATAGTTGAAGAATATCAAATTTACACAAACAAAAATCAATAACAGCATACAAAATTTTCATTGTGTCTTGAATAGAAATTGTTCTGCAGGTACAAGGACATAAAACAGTTTAGAAAATTGTACAACAGGAACAATAATAAAATGTTAAGCATCAAGGAAACAACAACAGACTAAGACTTCTGCATTTTGGAACAATCTGCTACACAAAGAAGGAACTGACATTCAAAGAATAGAAATAGTTTATATATTTTTATTCACTGCATGACATGTTGTGCACATCATTTGTGCATTAGACTAATGCATAAATGATAATTATTTTGGAAACAAATGCTTAGGTGTAAAGGCTAAGCTGCCAAATAGAAAAATTAAATCAGAAAAAAATGAAAGCAGTTTTTTTTAGAGGTATAGAAGTGATTAAAAGAAGCAAATTAAAGTAGAATACATTATATTTTCCTGTATATATGTAAGAACAGAACTGAGATTGTTCATTAAAGGATTGGTGCTAACTAGAATAAAACAAGCTTTAAGGGCAAGCGCAACAAGAGAAGTTAACATCACATTTACATGGTTTGTATATTTGTATTTCCAATAGTGAGGATTGTGTTTTGGACACAAGCTAATTTATGATTTTTTTTTTAATGATTTACACTTTAGGTTCTAGGGACAAGTTTCTTTTGATTAAAAATAGTGTTTGGGAAACACATATATTGCCATTTCTTTTACATGAATTTATTTTTGATAAGGTGCAACATAAAATTCTCAATAAATCTGGGTAATTGATGCATAGTAGATTTCAGTTTAAATTGATAAGGACCATGGAATGCAATTCCAAAAAAATTTACTCAAAACTATTTTCCACACACTGACTGGTTTTCTCCTTTAAAAAAACAGTGCAATAGAAAAGAGGTACCTGAAATTATTCATATTTTCTGGCCTGACAACAGCACTANTACCCTTGTCATGTCAAAAACCACTTTTTGACGTCAAAAACCCAACCCTGGGACCATAGAATCCAATTCCAAAAATATTTACTCAAAACTATTTTCCACACACTGACTGGTTTTCCCCTTTAAAAAAACAGTGCAATAGAAAAGAGGTACCTGAAATTATTCATATTTTCTGGCCTGACAACAGCACTAAATCTTTCTTCTTCATCCCCATTTTCTAAAGCTGCTCTCGTTTTGTGATGCATACTACTTTCGATTTCTGTTGCAACTTTATCAGCTTTCTCTTCTTTTTGCCTATATTCTTCAGTGTTTTGTTTATTTAGAGGAATTCTGTAAAGAAAATATTTTTGATAATTATACACGATCTTAAAAAGAATGCATCGTTAGATAGTCATTCAGTTATAGATGATACAGTGGAAAATCCCGTATCTGGTATTAATGGGACTTCGGCAAGTCTGGAAAGCAGATTTTTCCGGGTAATGGGTCTTTGAGGTAAACAAAAACATCAAAATATCCTTATTTAATAAAAAAACAAAAAGACCATAATTAATGTCAATTTAATTTAAGGATATATAAATTTACGTGGCTCGCCAATCGCAATTCTGGAAGCTATTGTTGCAGATTTCCACTTGGTTTTTAAAATTCTTGATATTTAAATACGCCATTATAACATGTTCTGAATTCCAAATCAAGTATTTCATTTTANTTCAGAAAACCGGAAAAATCAGTTATCCGGAATAGCGATGGTCCCGATCGTTCGGATAATCGGTTCCCTACTGTATAAATTTACGTGGCTCGCCAATTGCAATTCTGGAAGCTATTGTTGCAGATTTCCACTTGGTTTTTAAAATTCTTGATATTTAAATACGCCATTATAACATGTTCTGAATTCCAAATCAAGTATTTCATTTTATTTCTTGACTCGCTCAACTAGTGACGATTGCATAGTGAATTTGAATGGTTTTCTTGATAATTTTTTTTCGCATTTTCACATGGTTTTTAAAATTTCAATGTTATAATATGATATTAGTTCGTTTGGTGAACTTCGAATCACAGTTGAAAAATTATTTTATTTTTTTATGCACTCAATAATTGACGATTTACATAAAATAACACAAGGGGATTTACAATAGCATTTTTTTCAGCTTTCTCCCAGAATTTTCAGTCGTTATGATTTTTTAACGCTACATTTTCACACACAGGAAATTTCGAACCGCACATTTGAAGACAACTAATTTTATGCACTATATTAATGATGATTCACAAGTAAAGCCACATGGTTTTATACATCAGATTTTCATTATTGCCGCAGATTTTCACAAACATTTTAAAATCTCGATTTTTCATACTAAATTCTTTGTTCAGAAATTTCTGAATCAACCAGAAATCACCTTTTTGAGGCACTGGATTTGTGACAACTTTATCGTCTACGTGCAATCATATTTCTTTGTTCAATCACATTTTCAACAGTTTAGGATTTCCACATAGTTTTTCATATTTTGATTTCTCTTTTTGATTAATTAATACTATTACAATCAGCACATTTTGAATCACACTTTATAACACACAAAATAATCAAACGGCACACTCTAGTTGTGACAATTTCATCTAAATTCACATTATTTTCATAATGCAAGAGTTTTCTGCATTCTGAAACTGAGTGAGTGATTCTCGGTGGTAGTAATCTTTATGCAAAATAAGAGAAAAAATATGTGCTTTTTTTCACCCTGTAATGTTATACCTCCGAAATTTTAAAATGCCCAATTTTGTTTCCCTAGTATACGTGTTTTTTATCATATAATTAATCAGATTAAAATCAAACAAAAATCGATAGTAGAGTAAAAATCATAAGAAAGGGGAGGATTTTCATGAATTTTTTTTTAACAAATTGCAAATGTCAATATTTTTTTTTCTTTCGATAAAGGAAAAGAATTTTTGTTATTCTTGATTGTAAAAAAGATTTTGAAAAATAGACCCTTCCGGTAAACAGACCTGCTGTGAGTCAAACCTTATTAGCCTTTTCTTTTAAAACTTATTACTTATTAAAATTTCCTACATCTATTACCTAAATAAATTTAATAATCATAATAGTAAACATAAACATATATGAAACAGAAATATACAACGGATTTTAACTTGCAGTAAGCATAATTTAGTTCTTGCGTTTGCTTAGGCTTACTTCTGTATTAAAATCACCATTGAAAATAAAAATTAATAACAAAAACTATTGTACATTAATGAAAGAAATAGTTGCATTGTTATTTCCTTTTGAAGATAAGAACAAAATATAAGATAGTAAATCATAGAAAAAATAAATGAAAATTTTCTACTTACGTGTAACCAGATAGGGTTTTATCAAAAGAGGATTTTACACCATATTTTTCTTCATTGGTTTTGAACATATCCTGAGGATCCCAACCGTTCTGGAATAAAAATGTACAAATAATTTACTATAACTAGTGTTACCGATAAGAGAATCTTTGTCGTAAGAAAGATCCAAGGTTTCTTATAAAAATATTTTTATTTTATTAGGGATGTCTTTTGAAAAGGAAAATAAAAAAACATTTTAGTATGAGTACCTTAACCAGTAAGATAGTATCATAGCTGTCAACATGGATAAGAAAAAAATCCAGTAGATTTTACAAAATATAAATTTAATGATAATTGTTGTGTAATGTACTAAATATTTTATACGTAAGGAATTCTAAGGATTTTCATAGTCATCATTATTCATAATTTAGAATAGTAATAGATATTTAATTCATCACAACAGTTAAGATTTTTTAATTAATTTAAAAAAAGGAGGTTTGAATAAAATTAAATTGCACATTTTAGAACAAATTTTTTTTAAAACTGATGATAAATGAGGCTCGCTTTATTATACATTAGTAATACTTTTTTTTAAATAACTAACAGCCAATAATTAACTCATCAAAAAAAAAAAAGGCTGCCATTCTCTAAAATAGATTGATTAGACCGCCTTACAATACATTTTGAGACTACTATCATGACAAAATTTGTAATTTAAAAATTCAAAGTGGTTTTATGCAATGTGTTGGAGATATAAGTCAATTGAACATCATAAATAGGGCCTTTTTTGAAACTATAACCACCATGAGTCTACTGGATTTCATGGAATTGGACATTCAACTAAATCTATAACTGACATTAAGAAAATCTGATATTTGCAAAGTTACACTTTCAGCGTCGTTCTTGAAACAATACATGATTGGTTTCCACCTGAGGAATGGTTGTATACATATGGACAACCAAGTTTTGTATACACGACTGATCTCACTTTGATTTTTCAGTAGGTGATGGAATTTTTAGTGATATATTCAGTTATTGTGGGTAAATATACAACTCATTTTGATGGAGAACTAGAAGCTAATTTTGTAACTCTACTACAGCTTTCGACACATCGTTCTCCATACAAAAAAGTGGTTATTCTCTTGGATTACACCGCTGTTTTACAAGCCTTTTCTAGTAACTAAGAACTAAAGAATTCCTGAGTCCAGCTCTGTAGAGATCTTTTAGGGAGTACAAAGTTTTCCAGTGGATACCCTCATATTGTCGGCTACAGGGAAACGAAAATGCAGATTTTTTAGCTAAAAAGGGTACTGGTATCCTTCCAAAGTAAAGATCATTGTCATTTCACTCTGCCAAATCAGAGATTAAGAGAATTTTCAAAGAATCGTTTCTCACAACAGCCTCTATTTCATGCAGGGAGAAGAACTGGATCTCTCTCTCCAAAGGGATCCGTGTTACAAACTGACCTCGTGTCTCTAGGGGGGAGGGATGTTAAGACTTTTTGGCAAAGACTATCTTAAGGCCCATTTGCATGGTTTTAACATAGTTGACTCACCTCAGGGTAATTTATGTGAAACTGGACAAAACATGACTGCAGCAGGGTGAAATAAAAACAATTATGCAATAGATGAATTTTTTTAATGAGCATAAACATGAAACCCACCGCTTCTTCTTCACCAGTACCGAGGTCTAATAATCCATCTCCTGTTGAAGTTTCACCATCCCAGGGCTCTAACTCTTTTTCAAGAACCTGTCCATTGAATTTACTGATAGCAGTATCGGTGAATGTTTCTAGAAGGAAATTTATTGAAGTATTTATTACATGATGTTTTTAAAGTCTTAAAACAGTCTTATCTTGAGAAGTACACATTGAATATAGAAAAAAATAAACATGTTTCATATTTTACCAAAAAAAAAAAACCAACTCATCAATGGTACTAAAGTTTGAACCACAACCCCAACCCTAGGGGAAAGAAGCAGGATGCAACTTTGAAATCCCAAATTGGAACTTTCTTTTTATTTATTTATTGAAAATATAGATTTTCAAGAAAAAGCTTTAGAGAGTTAATGTTTATGAGGAGGTTAAGGGATCCACTTTGGTATCTTTAAATGGTATTTTGTTTTCCTCATTTTCTAAATCCAATGTGCATTTAAGATATTTGATTATTCCTATATTTTAGGGACACTTTATATACATAAATAATATAAGTTATTTCTAATAAATATAAAAGAATTATTCGGAATAAAATTAGATTCTTTTAAAATTAAAATGACATTAGACTATTTTTCATATAAAATAAAAAATTACAATTCTCAAGCATTAAAATTTTTTCTTAGAACTTATAACATTCCTAATTAAAAAGCATAATTTCTAATAACAAAATGTAAATTTACGAATTATTGGCTTATTGCAGAAAGTTTTTACCTCAGTTTTTATGAATTTTACAGCAACAAGGACTCTAAATTAAAAATTATAAGGTGCAAATGAAGAATTAATAATTTAGTACTCAGGAATATTTTACTTTATTCATTATCATTACGTACCATTTCAATATTAAGTTTGCCACTTTCAAATTTTCATTTATACTGAAAAAAATTCCCACTTACTTACATAACTTCTTAATTTTATCAAGAAATTCAAATATCCTTGAATCTTGTTAATCCTAGCTAATTTAGGATCATAGCCCAATCATCACGTAAAATTAAAATTAGCTGATTTTGTCATTATTAAATTTTGTTTGACAGAGCTCAAGTGACTTTTGAAATTTATAAATGTTCATCAAAAAATAAACAACTCACCTAAGTTAAAGTATTTTTATTCTTAGCAATGAGGAACAATTTTATTTTGAAACTAAAATCAAAAAATAATAATAAGAAGACTTAGTTAAATGTCAAACTATTTATAAATACTTACCTTATGAAATGAAAATTATACACAGTATAAAATTTCAATTGAAATTGTCATAAGTTTTTAAGCATTGTTACTGACATGAATTATTCTGTTTCAAACAATTTGTTTCGCAAGGGCTTTGATATTTTAGTGTCTACATTGCAGTTTTAAACCTGTTTTGCTCAGTGTGATTAAAAGTTAAAGATAAGTTTTCAAAACTAACAAACTAGCCAGTTTTGCTTTATGTACTGCTTTCATAACATTGGTTTACCAAAAATTTCCCTAATTCTTAAAGAAAAAAGTATATATATTTACTAAGCAAAAACTACCTCGAGTTGCAAAGTCTGGATCAACATTGCAAGCAGATATCATAATCACATCTCCAAAACTAAAGACAATTTTTTCAAAATAATCATCAGGATTGTTTGAGTTTATCACAGTACTAGGATTGTTTGAGTTCTTGTCAACTCGTTGAGCCAACTCAAGCACAAAATCAGCCTAAAACATACAATTCATTAAAAACTACAAGTATCAAGTAAATACTAAAAATAAAAGTCCTTTTATAACAATAGTTTATAAATTTTTAAGAAAAAATACTTTGAAAATAAAACTTTACTTCATTTACTTTTTATACAATGAATCATCTTCTTAGATACAGAGAAGACTAAAATTATTTAGTATGTTAACATCATTGGAGTTAATTTTTTATAAACTAACATCCTAACAACCAAAGTTTTTTTTTCTACCTTTTTCGGAGAAGTAAGGGCTATAAATACTTTTTGAATTGGTGCCAAATTTAAAAATAGTGTATATTTTTAATAATGGAATTATATTCTTAACTAACAGTGAAAAAGATCATAAAAGCTTACTTTACTAGAAAATGTTCTTAAAACTCCTTCAAATATACTCCCATTTTTTACTTGAACTTGAACTACACAGCCCTGAAAAGAAATTATAAAAAAAAAAAAATGTTTTTTAAAAAATATATAATAAGAATTTAATTACAACAAAAATATTTTAAGGAAAATTTCATAACACTGATATTGTTCTTTGAACATTTAAAGTCAAATGGAGGGTTTATTATTAGTATAAGCCAGTACAGTGTAAACATCTTTAATTTTTTTTTTAAACAAAGAATAATGTATTAAACAAAATACAATTCAAAATAATAAATAGAGTTTTTCTTTCACATAACAGTAAAATAAAACCCTTTTTTTTCACTTCTATTCAATAGGGGAAATACATTATTTTTAATGCAAAAAAAAAAAAAAAAAATAGTTGCTTCTATACTAAGAGTAAATTTTAAATAAGTAATAATTTTTTTAATACATCAAGCAAAACAATTTCTACTTCAGCTGACTTAGTGATAAGAAATATTTGATTCAGTTTGGGTAGTTTCAATTAAAATTTTCCTTCCGCTTTTTTAAAACAGAAAATGGATTCTAATCTCCTCTACGTTAACATAAGGAGAAATACTGGAATGCAATTTTGCTTATTCACAAACTGATCTTTTTGAAAACTTTTCGCTTTGTTCCAATCAAATTTTTTTTATACCAATTTTAATTTTAAGGTTGTAAGTATGATATTTTAAAAACTTGAACTAAGCTTTAAAATACTTAAATTAAGATTCAATAGAACACCTTAAATAAAAAAATCAAAAAAAAAATCCAAAAATAAAAATTAGTTAGCAAATAAAAAAGGAAAGGGCAATCATTCATAACTACTCTATTAGTTGAATTATAATTGTTCATTGGTTAACAAAGAGGATTTTGAATACATTTTCTGTCTAAAGGGGATCCTTAAGGAGATTTTACCATTATTTATTAAAAATCAAAACAGAATTTTACTTCTTCCTCATATGTCATGAATCACATACGGAGAATGAAAATAGTACTTCATTTTTGATTTTGCTGTAGTGGTGTATACATGCTTGCTTTTTCTTATACTAAACTTCATGAAATTTGGTTTACTAAAATGTGTAACAGACAGAACTCAAAAACAGTTTTGATCTAAAAACACTTAATATTATTAAAGTTCTTCATGGATGATTTCTTGAATATATTTTGATATAAAAAAGGGAACTTGTAAACATTTGCTTTTTTTAAATTTTATCCTTCAATTTAATAATAATGATTAAAAAAAAGAAAAGTGTTATTTAGAAAACTTCTTTTAAAAATTGTTTAAGGTTTGTACTACGTAATAGAAAAAGCGACTAATAATACGTATGCTTAAACCGTCAGAGAATCATTTTTAAAGTATTGATCTTCATAAATAGAAATTCTTTAAATACTGCTTTAGAGGATATTAAAAAGTATTCAATATAACAAACAATGCATTTTGTATAACCAAAGTAACATTATGTCAGTGCATATTCTTTAATGTAATAAACAATACAAAAAACTTCTTAATTTATTCAAAATAGCCTTAATTAGAAAAAGTTTTGAAAAATGAACTGCTGTTATTTTATGAGTTTTCAGTAGTTTAGTTAATAAGCTGTAGAAGGATGCTACTGTGGTTAAAGCGATTTCTATAATATTTCTTTTTTAAAAAAAAGGTAGCAAAACATAACATACGAATAAAAATAATCTTACTTACAACTATCTGCCCAACTGAATGCATAAGACGAGGATTAGCATAAATACCTTCAAACTGTAAACATAAAAAACACAACTTAAAAAAAATTACATAGAAATGAGTCTTGTAGATAATATTCTCAAAGAACCAAAGATAAATTCCTCTCACAACTCTCATTTCTCACAATATATAACATACAAACAATCAATATCTAAGCTTATTTTATTTACTCAATACAGATTTTAGGCTCAAATTTTATGCTGAATATCTAGTGAATATGATAAATATATACTTATTCAAAATTTTTACTAAGAAAAGAACTTTAAAAATTTGATAACTCTAAAACTTTTTTGAAATTTATAAGAAAGAACATTTAAAATTTAATAACACCAAAACTTATTTGCAATTTATAAAAAAATAAAAAGAGATATGTCTTTTGATATTAAAAGGATATGGCTACAAAAAAAAAATTAATTAATTTCATTGTTCACAGTTTTTGTATCAATAACATTTTCGTACCAGAATGTTCCCAAAACAAATCTTTAAAAATGTGCAAAACAGTAGTATTCTATTTATCCAATAGATTTTGCATTATGAGAAGTGTGTAAAGTGCTCTGAAACAATGATATCAGTAATTCTTTATAACGAAAATGGGACATTCTTATTCATCAAAAATGTACATAACAAATGTAGTTCAGGATCTTTTTAAAAAGATACAAGTGGTTTCTATAGTGTAAAAAGAATTTAATTCTTCACAATGTAATTTGAAAACCTGCCACAGTTTAATTTCATTAGAAACAAAGAGTGCAAAATGTATCTGTTTTTTAATTAAAAAATATTACAAGTAATATTACTTGTTTCGTATTTGATATATACATTACAGTAGAGCGCCGATTATCCGAACCCTTATTATCCGAACTATGCCTGAATTCTTTTTTTAAAGTTTAGAATAGTTTTCAACTTATCAACAATTTTTCTAAATCAGTAGATCTTCCAGCTGAAAAGATGCCAGGTTATGCAGCAGAAGAAATAGAAAAATAGAATACTGGTGTCGAAACACTGAAAACGTCCCAGGATTTCAAGTTTGAAATGATGATGAAATTGTTGTTGAAATTTTGAAAGAAAATTGGAACTCCTCAGACGAAGAAGTAGGTGATCAAGTTCAAGATAGTGGACCTTCTCATATAGAAGCATGCAATTCATTAGATTTTGCAATGAATTGGCTAGAACGTCAAAATGATGTCGATCCAGTTCAGTTGATTTATTTAAAAAGAATAAGGGATATATGGCTGCTAAATAAACGCGTCTTCTTTGAAACGATATCTTTGCTGGATTTCTTTTGCAATGGAANAAAAAAAAAACTTTTAAACAAAGCTATTTTAGATAGTACTGCCAGTCCTAAACCTGGAAAAAGTGTGAAGGGAAGTTAGGGCATAAATAATAATCATTAAACTCGATTTAAAGCAACCTTCCAATTATCCGAACTTTTCATTAACCGAACCACGTTCGGTCCCGAGCAGTTCGGACAATCGGCGCTCTACTGTACATATATTAAATGCATTTTTTCCTTTCATTAAGAAATCAGTATTGTTTTTTAACACATTTTAGGATGGAAAATTATATCATTTAGTTGTGTAAAAACAATTTATTGCTTTATCTGAAATCTAAATTTTTTTTTCTGCAACCTTTGGTGAAAAAGCTTTCGTACTTATTAACATAATTAAAGAATAGGATCAAATGAGTCCCATAGTCATTAGGAAAAATTAAGGTAAAATGATTCAATTCAGAACAATAAAAAAAAAAACAATAATTTTCTTTTTTTTTTAAATATTTGCAAAACTTACATGTTTTTCTGTAGGTCCCTTCATTATTCAAAATGTTTGTCACCAGTGCCAATGACTGCCTAAGTAAGTGGTTAACCAATACACCTTATTTGTACTATAAAACAAGAAATAATTATACAGTAAAAATGAATTTCGAAAATTACTTATTACTAATGTTTGGAAGGAAAATAGAGTAGATATGTTACAAATCTATATGCTGAATTCAAAAATGTTGGCTATGGTGCCTGTGCCAAAATGGTTGTCAAATTTTGGTGACACCCTCGCATTGATATTCAAAAACTAAACATTACAAATGAGGTAAACTTGAAGGTTAAAATTGGCAGTCACCTATTACAAAATTATTGTTAACTATAATAAATATAAAAATGTACTTTGAATTTGAAAAAATAGTGAATTATTGAATGATAATGTACGAGAGGTAATTATCAATTTTGAGTGTCATTTTCTTTCCTTAGTTTTTAAATGTATTATTACCATTCTTTTAATAAGTAAAGGGATAGACATTGAAAAATAATTCAAAATATTAAAAGACAGAAAAAAATGGTGTTATACCAAAAATGTCCTTAAAATAACCTTGTCAAATAACATACCAAATGAACACATTTAATAATTTCGCTACGCAATTTAAAACCTATTTCTGTTTCTTTTTTATTGATTTTTTTCCTGATTACTTTATTATAAATCAGAATTAGCAAACAAAAATAATTGTAGTGTTGTACATATTATCATACATAATGCTATCAGGTTAGGTTTGTGGTCAAAATGTTGTTCACTCGAATGATAAATATAAAAGAAAAATAATGACACACGATGAATGCAACACAATTATTCTCAACCTGTGGACTACTTGAGGTAAAATAAGGAAGAAAAAAAATCATTCAAATTTATCTTAAAAGTTAGGCCTCTCCATTACAATAAGATCAAGGTCATACTCCAGGGAGGGTAGACAAAAGAAATGGTCATACGGACCTAGACTGTTTAGGGCTCAGTTGAAATTACTTACTCAAAGCAAAACACTTTTTTTTATATAAAATTTCTCTTTAAATTGTAGAAGGTTTTTTAAGTATATGTTTAGATATGCTTGCAATGTTCCACTAGTTTGGTGAAAGAATTCTTTGCATTTAGTACATAATAATAAAAAAAATGGAAAAATTTAGTTATTAGTTAAAATAAACATAAAAAATTAGAATTATTTTAGTACATTAATGATTGATATTTTAAGAATCAAAGTTAAACCATCATTTTGAGAAGTCTTACAAAATATGAAAATTAAACTGTCTTTTAAGGAAATAGGTCAGCAGCTAAATTCGGCCAGGAGTTCTTTGAACCTTATGCCCAGCATTTGAGTAATATTCACATTTTTACTGTGCTTTGAAAATGCCGAAAAATAACCATGCTTTGTAAATTCTTAAATGTAAATATTTTTTACTTAATACCTTTCAAAGGAATAATGGAACTCTATGTTAATTGATGCCTTTTCCCTTTCAGAAGCTACAACAAGACAATTTCTTCTTACAATAGAGAAAAAGTGACAATTTAAATTCTATATTTTACTTTAACTATTTTTAAAATTGTTTGCCTAGGCCAGTATTTCCCGAAGTGTGGTACACGTACCCCCAGGGATGCAGGAGCAGTTTAGCGGGGGTACGTGTTCTTATGCGAAATATCTTGCAACAAACTAAAATTTTAAAAATATTTATTTAGAAGCAAAGCTAGCCATCAAAATTTATGGTTACATATTTTTCTAATGGCTATTTTTTGCAGACTTAGCAGTTAATAATTAGTGGTGTCAACAGCCAGTTCTGATTTTTAAGCTTTGCGCAACTTTTTATAGTAAAAAATACATGAATTTTTTTTATTAGTGGTACACAGCGTTACAAAAAATTTAGAAAGGGTACACAAAAGTCATAAGTTTGGGAATTGGCCAAGGCCAATAATGTGATCTATTAAATTAGTATGTAGTAGACTTCGGTCTATAGAAGTTTTCAGAATTTAACATATTGATTTGCTATAACATGTAGTGGCTCTAGATGTAAAAAAAGGTTGAGAATTGCTGTATTAAAACTTCAATTTTCATCAGTTTTAGAGCAGTAATTATACATTTTTAAAATAGTTTGCAAAATACTTGCAAAGTTTTTAGATGCAATAATATCACTGTCTCAGACACTTAAATAAAATTAAGAGACAGGATTTTCTTATGGAACAGCAATTCAATATTTTTGAAGTAGTTTGCAAATAAAATTTAATATGCTTTCAAAGCTGTAACAAGCAATAATTAAAAGAAATTTTTTTTTTTTTTAATGGAACATTCAGTCATTTATATCACACTGATCTGTTATAAACCAATACTTAATATATTCAAATTACTTAAAGAAGTTAAGGTAAAAGAAAAAAAAAAATACTATTGAAAAATAAATTTCCTTTAGTTTATTTTCATTAATATTAGATAACAAATTCTGCACTTTGTTAGTTCAAAAATGAAAGAATATTTCATGATTCTTAATGTAAAAAAATCAATCACCAAGAAATGTTTTTTTTTTTTTTTAAAAAAAAAAAGAAAATAGTATGACGAAATACCTAATTATAAAAATTTTATTTATAACTGAAATTTTAAATCAAGGTATTTAAAATTTAAAAAAAAAAAATGCATAAATACAAAGATCATTTTACTCACACAGAGAAAATTATTAACTAAGGAATTAAATTCAAAATAACCTATTGACGAATCCTGCTGGAGAGGAATCAAAAGAATTTATTATTTTATATTTTAAGAACTAGATAGCTTTGCTAATAAAATTGCAAAAAAATTTTCAATTCAGAAATTTACTTTTCAATTAACATAATTGGGAAGAAAAAAAAATTTATTTTTGAATTAAATGCGTTTTTCATAGCAACTTACTTCCAAATACAGATCCATTTTATAATATTAATGTAAAGTTAAATATCAACTAAATGTAAAATAATTTTTTTCTTTGATGATGTAATACTACTCAAAATTTAATCTAGTTTCTTCTATTTTCAAGCATATCATATAAATTATTTACTAAGCACAACAAAATTTAAACAAAATCGATGAACATTGAAATAATTCTCCTTACAAAAAAATTTATATAGACATCCGCCCAGTTAGCACTAATACAATGTGAATACTGCAATTGAAGTTAAGCACCTGAGTTCTGTTTAAAATAGATAGTTTCGTATGGATAATTTGAAAAAAATATTTTACTCAGGAATTTAAATGATTTCGGGGCTCTTGAGTGTCATATTAAAACGACATGCACAAGTAGCTTATTATATAATTTTAATTTTCTTTAAAATAACTTCCACTATCTGAAGAATTGAGCAGAAACACTTTTTTTTGCACTGATTTTCACTGCAAGAGAGAGTTGCCATATTTTTAATTATGAATGTTCCATAAAACAAATCTATTTTAAATTTTTATTCATTTCAATAAAAACAGGACTTTATAACTTCATATTTAACAAAAATATTTCATGAATATATGTTTTATTATTTAAGTAATAATTCAACAGACAGTTAGTGATTATCTGTAAATTTATTAATTTATTAAGTGGCAGCATCTACATAGCTTGATTTTGACTTTCAGTTTCCGGCGGACAGCTTGTTCGTCTGCTCTTGTTAGAAAGCAAGGTTATTCAAGGACTATTGCACCCTGCCGTAACCTGTTGCTGCTATTTGAAATTAGTTCTACTCATATTTAAAAATGAGTGTTTGCTTGGTTGTTATCGATGGTTGGGGTATTTCAGACGTAAAGGAAGGAAATGCAATTTATCATGCCAATACACCGGTAATGGATGCTCTGTCAAAATCCGAAGGACAGTATCTTACATTGGATGCCTCTGGTTTATCTGTCGGTCTCCCAGCTGGATTAATGGGCAATAGCGAGGTTGGCCACATGAATATTGGTTGTGGACGTGTGATGTATCAAGATATAGTCCGTATAAATATGGACGTTGAAAGCAAGAAAATCGGTGAAAATCCCAATTTCTTAGATTGCGTTAATAATGCTAAATCGGGCAATGGTAGACTTCATTTGCTGGGTCTTATTAGTGATGGAGGAGTTCATGGACATATTGAGCATCTTTATGCCCTTTTAGAAGCAGCTAAAAAGAATGCTGTACCTAATACGTATGTACAGTTCTTTGCCGACGGCAGAGATACGGCTCCCACGAGTGCCCACAAATATGTTCAACAAGTTCTGGACAAATTGAATGAACTAAGTTATGGTAGCTTAGCTACTGTTACCGGTCGATATTATGCTATGGATAGGGATAACAGGCACGAAAGAATCAAATTGGCATATGAAGGTTTGGTTCAAGGAATCGGTGAAAAGACATCACCATCAGAGGTGGTGTCCCTTATACAAAAGCGATATGAAAGCAAAGATGATCCCCAAACTGATGAGTTTCTGAAGCCTATTATTGTGGACGAGAAAGGCTGTATTCAAGATGGTGATACCATGATTTTCATAAATTTCCGTGCTGACAGAGTGAGACAGATATCGGAAGCTTTCGGCATCAAGAGACAATTTGAAACAGACAAAGTACCTCAGAATCTGAAAATATGCACCATGACACAATATAAAAAGGAATTTCCTTTCACAATGCTCTATCCTCCTACGGTGCCGGTCAACGTGTTGTCCGAGTGGATTTCAAAGAAAGGTGCTACTCAGTTTCATTGTGCCGAAACTGAAAAATACGCCCATGTGACATTTTTCTTCAACGGCGGTCAAGAAAAAGCTTTTGAGAAAGAAGACAGATGCATGGTACCTTCTCCCAAAGTTGCAACTTACGATCTTCAACCTGAAATGAGTTGCATGGGAGTTGCGAATGAGATGGTAAAAGTTATAGACGCAAAGAAATATCCTTTTGTTATGTGCAACTTCGCTCCACCCGATATGGTTGGTCATACTGGCAAATATGAACCCGCCATCAAAGGTGTCGAAGCAACCGACGGTGCTATAGGACTTCTAGTTGAGGCGTGCAAGAGAAACGGCTTTACTCTGCTGGTGACGGCAGATCACGGTAATGCTGAAAAAATGATTGGGGACACAGGTGGCCCCCATACAGCCCACACAACCAACCGAGTTCCATTTATTATGGCAGGATCGAAAAAATTTAAGACCCCATCACATAATGCTGCACTTTGTGATGTTGGACCTACTGTTCTTGCACTGATGGGACTTGATCAACCTTCAGAAATGACGGGTCAATGTCTTTTAGCTTAAATCAAACTTTATTCTTTCAATGGTTGTTGTGCTCTTTACTTTTGTTGACTGATTGGCTTGTAAAAAATATATTTATTATAAAAACTTATAAATGGAAAAATAATATATATATATGTATACACTACATTTTCCGGTGTTTTTGCAAATTAAAAAATGTATCTTTGTTGTATAAATTTAAAGATTTATTTTTAAAATAGATATATGATTTATTTCTCAAGCTTTTTGTTTAAGTTAATGTAGTGAACATTTTGCTTTCAGGATTGTTGAAATCTCAAATGTATGTTGTTCCTGATCTTAAGATGTTTTTTGAAATTTAAATGTATTTAAAAGAGAGTATTGTGAAGTTTAAATACGTAGAAAGTTTAAAAAGAATGTATTGTAAAAGTTTTTTAAATCTATAGGAAATTATATAAGTATTTAAATGTGAATATACATTATAAATATTACAATTATTAGTTATTTAAATTTATAGAATATATTAGAATTTTTGTTCTTTTTATATATGTTTTTAAAATAAATCTTGTAAGAATTTTTAGGGTAAAATTAAATGTCTATATCTATTGCTATAATTTAAACATTTCATTAACTTAAAAAAATAACTAGTTTTAACATAAATAATTTCATATTTTTGTTATAATTTTTTATTAAATATGAAATGTTATTTTACAGTCAAAAATAAATAAAAATATCAATTTATAAAATTGTTAATTCTGAATCACATTTGTTCAATATAGAAAAATGTTTACCATTCAAAATAAATCTAGAAATTGCTTTGAAAAAAAAAATGAATGTAATTAGTTAAGCTAATTCAATCTCTAAGATTTGATAAAATGTAAAGAAATTTTGTATAATATTAATCGAACTATGTTCCATGTGATTTATATTTAACTATTTGAAATGTTGCAATATTTTACTGATGGTATTTTCTAAGTAGTTGAATGTAACTGGTCTATTAAGTGAAATTTCAATGTATTGACCACAGAAAAAAGTTAGATTAACAAAATAAAGTTCATAGGATTGCATTAAAATTCTTTTCATTCCTTAGAATACGTATTTGGTAAATTTTAATAGCCAGCATCTTTTTCTATTTAATTGGAAGTATATGATTTAATTTTTTTTTATTGTATAGTATTTAGTTTAACTATTTGAACAGAAGAGTTCAAAAACATGATCTACAAGGAATTTCCAACAAAAAAAGACCTGTTTTCAGACTCAATTATTTATTCAAGTTCTCTGTGTAATGAAACCTTGAAAAGTTCATAGGCTAACATAGAAAAAAAAATTCTTTTTGATAAAATCTGATTTTATTATTCAATATAGTTGCCTTCAAGGGTGAAACAACGGTTATACTGGTCATATAATTTTTCGATACCATTTTTATAGTACAATTTGTCTTTAGCCTCAAAATAGGCCTTAGTTTCGGTGATTACTTCATCAGCCGCTAAATTTCTTTCCAACGAGCATTCTCTTGAGATCTGAGAACAAGATAAAGTCGCTGTGGGCTAGATCTGGAGAATACCGTGGATGCGGAAGTAATTCATATAATTTTGCCATCATTTTCATTGACTTGTGACACTGTGAATTGTCTTGATGAAACAGCACTTTCTTCTTCAAATGGGGCCGTTTTTCTGCAATTTTGTTCTTCGAACACTATAAAATAGTCGCTGTTAATGGTTTTGCCCTTTTCAAGATAGTCTATGAATATTATACCATGCGCATCCCAAAATACTGATGCCATAACTTTGCAGCTGACTGTTGGCGTCTTTCCACGCTTTGAAGTTTGTTCATCTCGTGCAGTCCACTCTGCTGACTGTCGATTGTACTCCAGTGTGAAATGATGAAGCCATGTTTCATCCGTTGTCACATATCGGAGCATAAATTCGGGTTTATTACAATTAAACAGCTTCAAACACAGCTTAGAATCATCAATTCATTGTTTTTGGTCAATTGTGAGCTCGTGCGGCACCCTCTTTGCATAGAGCTGTAGCGTATCTACTACTACAAGATTACAACTACAATTCACTAGTATATAAGATATGTTAACTAGACTCTATGTCGGGGGGGGGGTACCTTCCCATAGATGATGGTTGACATGGTCTGTAACTACTTGCTCCACATTGGTGACCTCCGGACGTGATGTGAACACGCCTACCCTGGCAGCAACGCCCACTTCGATATGAACACGCCTATCTTCACAGTAATGCCTACTTTGTTGGATGGTCCACATTTAATAGTTGACTTGCTACTTGTGACTGCAACATTATCCACCTCCTCGCACTGTTGCTACTCAGTCTCGAGCACACAACGTCGGCCTGCATACGCTCGACTGTTAAAGGCAACACAGGAGCGACTACGACCGCGAAGTTAATACACCTCTCACATTCAGCACTTAAAAAGTACGGTAATCTTAATACAGCTCTCCCAGCATGATAGTGGTATCCATTCATCGAATTCTATCACAGATATAATTCTGGTAGGGGAGTACTGTAGCGTATCTACCACTACAAAATTACAACTACAATTCACTAGTATATACGACATGTTAACTCGACTCTATGTCGGGGTACCTTTTAATAGATGAAGGTTGACATGGTCGATAGCTACCATCCCCACAGAGCTTTCGCATACCCAAATATTCATTCACGATATGTTCCTTTGATATCTTTAGTCTCGGATATCCCGATCAATTTCACTTTACGCTAATCTAAAATTATTTTGTAGACTTTTGTTTATGTTTTCGTCGGCAACAACCTCTTTGTGGCGTCCACTGTGTGCATCGTCGTCAGTGCTCATTTCGCCTTGTTTAAACTTAGCAAACCACTTCTCAACGGTTTATTTTCCTGGTGCAGAGTCCGAATAATGTTTATCAAGCCAAGCCTTGCCTTCAACAGTATTTTTTTTCCCGCTAAAAAGCAATGCTTTATTAACACACAAAATTCCTTTTTATCCATTGTTTTTAAACTAACAAAAGTTGCTTCAATAAAAATAATATATCTCTCAAACTAATTGTCCAACAGCTGACAAATTTATACATGTGTCTTTCGAAAGTTAGAACTAACTAAAAATCATACGGATTTAACACCGCCATCTATGTGTCAGCCTTCAAACTTTTCTGCCTAACTGTTGTAAATATTGTCTTATCAAAATTAGAAAAAGAGTTGGTTAGCCAGACGCAAGGGAAAAGTCTCTACAAAATGTAGATCTCTGCCAATATTTTTTAAACACATAAAAATATTTTATTTTTAAAAAGTACAAGTGAATTTTCTTGTGCCCTGAAAAAAATAAGTTAATTGAGATCAAATCAGATTTATTTTATACTTTGTATCAGATCTTTAAAATTTTAGTTTATAAACTGTTTTCTATTAGTAGGTTTCAGATAATTGAGCTTAATAGAAAGAGGTGCAAAGCAGAAATCGGCAAGTCATGTAAATATTTCATCAGAAATACCCATTAAACATACTCCCAAATTTCTTTGTTGCCCAGCTTGTTTAAAATTCAAAGAATCAGAGATGTGTTGATAAATTGTAAATAAAAGCTTTTAGAACAAATTTCAGTTAAAGTTCCTTTATTTAAAGTAAAGAGAAAAAACAGAAAAACAAGCAACTTTTTGATGAAGTTTTAACAGATATCAAAACCTACAAAATTTGAAGCAAGTTAGTGCAAGAAAAGCTAAACTACAAGAAAAAAATATTCAGTCTGTTGAGCATCAAAATATTTTATTATAAGTACTTCAAGGCTAAAATAACATACAACAGTTTTTAATTCTGTGACAATTGATGTGAATGTGAATTTTAAAACATGAAGCAATTATCGAAAATTTTAATGTTTTTGACAAAGAAAATCTACAAACATGGGGCAAACTAAATCTGACTTTCATTATCAACATAAAATAACTTTTCTAAAAATCGAAAGATCATTTAGAGAGCATTACTTGTATTATTTTTGATAAAATTTTCAGTTTTATCAAAAATAATAAAAGTTTTTTTTAACGCCAAATTATAATTGGTATGTTAGAAGTAGGAAATGTAAAAATAGTTATAAACTAATAAGTTGTATTTTTAATTTGAAGTGCTGTAAAAAAAAAATAGAAATTTTTTTGTTATTTACAATAAAAAGTAAACAACTTGTAAAGTACAAAAAAATTGGAATGGAATAGCTTTTTCTTTCTGATACAAAATTAAATTTAAAAGTGAAACTAAAATATTAAATAAAATTATATAAACAAACGAAAAAGGCTTTTTAATGATGATTTTAAGAAAGTATAAATTTAAATACAAGTATTTATTTTCTTCAAAATCAACAAATTGAAAGCTATTTGGACAAGCATTAATATAAACTATATTGCTACACAAATGAAAAGCAATAATTGTGACAGTACGTAACACCAAATTATGGAATATAAATGGACTAGACCTTGATTCAAATAAAGAATATAAAAATCTTTTCTTTTTCGCTTATTCACATAATTTTAATAATTATATACACATTAAAAATGCAAAAACAAAGCATATTTAATTTTATTATAGATATGTAATAATAACTTAGAATAAGTAATGGAATATAATATAAAACAAAAACTGAGTAATATACATTGAATTAATTAGAATCTGTTTTAAAGGTAAGTTTTAGAAAAAGACTAATATCATTGGAAATGTAGTTACTATTTACATTGATATTATAGGGGAGGTAGAGGAGTAAAACAAACTATAAATTGTATAACACTATAAAATTGTATAATTTTGATAGCTAAGCAAAAAGTAAAACTTTATCTATTATTTAAAATTTTACTTAAAAAGACATTTTGAAGTTCAGAAAATCCTTCAATATATATGCATGATAATCTATATTTTTATCTCTTATTTCTATCTAACTTAAAAAAATTAAAAAAAATGTCACTTATAGTAGATACATCAAAGACTCAGTTTAAAAAACTGACAAACATTTAACAAACTTTTTCTAATTACAGTTAATAAACCAATATATCAATGAAAAATCACATTACTTTGTTTAAAACAAAATTTTAAATAACATAAAAGGTATAAACAACTATGCCTTTTACTTGAATCTATAAAATAGAGCCAGAGATGGTAAAAAAAAAAACAAATCCAGAAACTTAAAACTGTTTTAAATTTTAAGCATACTAAGTACATTAAAAAATTAAGTATTTCACTAAAAATCAAAAACTAATGGTGTAAGTTTAAAGGAACTCAGCTGACATTAATATGTAATTGAGGGGGTGGGGTAAGTGATGGAAGAAACTTTAGTTGGTTTTTGAAAATTCTTATCCTTTTTTGCTTACACATGTTAGAAATCAAATAAATTATTATGCATTTAATATGCTGAAAAATTAGTATCACAATACAAATTCTAAGAGGTTCTAAATGGTCCCATTGTTGAATAAACCACACTGGTTAGTAGCACAAGGCAATACTTACTGTGTTGTGCTCACATAGATCTCATGATAGACTTGTACACCCTAGCTTTCAAATCGACAGAGTAAAGTGGACTTGGCACATTTTACTTAATGAGAAAAATCATTTTACTACAAAATGGAACAACACATCCCCCCCCCCCATCAACTAAGGCAAAGATGAAGACATAAAAATGTGGTTGCTTCAAGCAATACCACAAATGTTTGCTAACGTGTCTCAATAAGTGTTCCATTAATGTCAAAAGTGGAGATGCCCTGAAACGGGATTTAAAATCCCAAGGGGGGAGGTTAAAAATTCCAACTAAAAATATATATATATTTACAGAAATCAAGATTCATTTTTTACATAAACATTAACAGAAATTATACTTTCTGACAAAATATTTTTTTCTTCTTTAGGGTAAAGCATGTTTAAATTTTATAAATTATATTGTTTCTTCAGTAATTTAAGGCCATGAAACTACATCATTAAATTTCTTTGAAATATATGTATTATCTTCATAAAGTCATAATTAATAAGTTTTAGTTAGTTTCATTATAAAAATTTATAATATAGAGTTTAGTGCCCCTTTCTCGGCAGGTCACTGAAACTATTTATCTTTTATTTAATTAAAGTTGCTTGATTTTTCCAAAATCGTAATCTATTTAAGTAAGAGAAAAGAATTTATGAAAAATTCATCACAGATTTCTTATCACTGTGTAGGCATTTTCATTTTTCAAACAATTTGTGTATTTTTAAACGAAAGCTTACAATTCAGGAAATTTTAAGAATCACTGCTGCAATACCATAAATAAACAGAAAGGAATGTACTTGAGGAAAAAATAAAAATGAGCACTCTTATTTCTATTTGATTATGCTCCTGCCTGTTTTACTAATATAAAAAATTATTGAAGACAGACAAATTATATATATATATATATAATATAAAAAAATTGTGACACAAATTAGAATGAACAAGATTTAAAATTAAAAAAAAAATGTTATTTACCCTGCTTAACACACTGACGGTTTAATGAAAAGGCGAAATTGCCTACAGGAAGAAAGAAAAAAAATACAGATAATTTCACGAAATAAGAATTACATGCAAACTATTGATTTTAATAGCATAAACTATACTATAAAAATATTTATGCACTGGGAATTTTAGGGGTTTCACAGTCAATAAAATACAAAAATATTTTAATATAAATTTAAATTGACTGCATTATTTTGCATTAATAGCTGACACTAAATGGACTTGAACGTAAAATGCTTTTAATATATTTCTCTTTGAAATTATAATTTTGAAAAGTAAGAGATATTTAATTCATTTCAAATTATTATGACGTCTTTAATTTAAAAATAAAAAGTTCGAAAAAGAAGTTAAGCATTAGAATATATAAAAAAGAAACACTTAAAACTGATTATAATAAACGAGTCTAGACTGAGCAAGCAATAGACTGAGAAAAAATTATGATATATGATAGCAATTTTTTTTTCTTCAGAAACTTTTTTAAATACAGAATATCTTCACATACAAACAAAAACCAGGGAAATTTTTTAATGAAATTAGGGAATCAGGAGAAAGTGGCAAAATTGTGTGGAAGTGGCAGGAGAAAGTTTTTTTTTTTGGGGGGGGTAAAAAATGCAGTAAAATATTAAAACAAATAAAAGTTAACGCCTTTTGAAACATTTAAACTGTCAGTTACCATATTGTAAAAGTAATGATTAAAAAATATATACACATATTAAACAATATGCCTGTATTCTACAAATTACATAAAAAATGATTTTTCTCTAAAAGAATTTCCTACTGTGACATCACCTGTGTTTTAAACAATATTTTTTTCCTTCATTTTTGTAAAGATAGAGAAAAAAAAGATGAATAATTAAATTTTGAATTCTTAAAGACACAATGTTTTTTCTACATTCAATAATTAAAGTTAACAAAGTTTCCTTGAAAAAGACAAGATGCAACATATAAAATTTTTTCACACTCATGAAAATGATGTAACAAAAAATGTATGCACAGCCCTTAACGGATGAAAAAAGGCAGAAGAAGCAAACAACTAAGAAATATTAATATAAAAATATGAAATTCTATAATTCAGAACATTAGCACAGGATATAAAAATAATAAAGTAATTGAATTTATTAGCTATGAAATACATTTTTGCAAGCTTCAGAAAGAACAGAAATTATTAAATTAATATCCTCCTCATTCAAAATGGCGGTGACAATGAGACGGATACTTGGTTGTGGCACTTTATGTTCTTCAGCATCTAAGTATTTAGCAAGAGTGAGAGCAACTCCTTTATCCATGGCCTAATAATAAAAGAAGTTAGAAAATTTAAAATAACTCTTTTATGTATCCTTATAAAAATCACAATAACTATTTTAGTTCATTTGCATAGACGAGATTTATAATTATCATCATCAATGTTTAAATATTTAAAAAAAGTAAAATACAGATATTGGTATTTTTTAAATCATGTTATAAATTCTAATTTACAGAGTTACATAAAATGTAACGGTGTCTTAATTGAGATGGATTTGGTCAATAATCAATATTTAAACTTTTAATGACTTGTAAAAGAAAGACATATGTTTGAAATCAAAACTTAAATATTTAATGTGAACATTAATCTTATTCACATTAGGGGTGTGCAAATAAATTACATTTATCTGCTCCTCCCCAACACACACATAAGCTGACTTCATCACCCTTTTTTAATAAGAGCAACTACAGAATCTAAATGTAATTTTTAAAAAAGTTTAAATTATGATTTTATATTCATAACAATATACTTTAAACACATTAAAAAATAATGCAAATCATGAAGAAAGGACATTGAAGAAGAAGAAAAAAAAAGGAGAAATAATATTTGTCCATTTTATCTACTAATTATTATAGTATGATAGGCATAGATTTTTTCGTTAAGTATAATAAATGTCTTGAATTACTTTAAATATTTTAAGCTTTACATTTATTTAAACGATAAATTTTTGTTTGTTTTTTACAATTAGACATATTGAACATAAAGGCTGTGCTACAGGAATAAATGAAAAATATTCAAATGAAAAAATATTCTCCAGTCTCCTTTTAAATTTTTGAATGTAACACCAAACATAATAAATAATAAACAAATAAATAAAACCAAAGCACTTTAGAATATAAAGACAGCAGAAAATATCAGGTATATTTGGAAAAAGATGAGACAAAAAGACTTACATAAGAAACAATTTGTTCTAAACTTGATTTATCTTCCACAGAACTTTTTGAGAATTTGTTCGAGATGTAAAGATGCTTGATAGGTGAAATAGCTACTGATTTAGTTACCAGCTCTGGAATCCTAAACAAGATAGATAAATGAATTGTAAGAAATTTAGAGATAAATGAAGTTACTGACAGTAAAAAAAAAAAAAATATACAATTACTTTTCCAATTTTTCTTGCATACATTTAGAATTGTCTTGCAGGTCTCTTACAAGATCTAAAATAAATAAATAAAATAAAAAATAATACCTAACACCAAACAGAGGTTCATTGATAATTTTACTAAAACTTATTTATATTTTACATAATAACTAGAAATAAACTAGATCTGTGATGCCAGTATAGGCATTACATTTTTCCTAGCTTTTAATATTTTTTTAATTTCATAAATTTATTTTTTCTAAAATCATTTTTAATCTAAATTTAATTAAATCAAAATAATTAATTAATACTTTCGATAAATTGCCAACTACGGATTTCTTCCTATGCTTCCAATTGTCCATCACGAACTATTTAAAATTCTTGGCTTTATGAATGAGAGTTGTCTCTCAGTCTGACCATTAAAAATTAAAAAAATTTTTCATGCTAAAAATAATGCATCTCTTTGCTCCTGTAAAAGGAGCAACCTGTTATTTTGTGATTTCTTATGACCAGATATGCTATTTTCAAAAATTCTCTCTAAATGAAACAATCTTTAATATACAGTCAAATCCCGCTATAGTGAACCTTCAAGGGACCAAAACTTTGGTTCACTATATCCGTACTGCAAACAATTTAAACTAATTTTACCAAACTTCTCCGTCTTATTACACTTTATTTAAATAAATGACCAATAATACAAAAATGATTAAAAAACAATATGTAGTAACAAAAAATGTGTTAACATTTATTCTTCATTACTCCTTGTCTTGCATACAAAAAACTTGAGAGATGGCCTATATTTAGTGATGGGTAACTGATGAGATGGAAGAAGCAAACAAGAAAAAATGCTTACATTCCACTCAATATATGGTTTTTAAAATCGGTATGTACTATAGTAAAATGAATACAAAGATAATTTTAGCACATAACTTTACAGAGCATTAAATTAAATGTTTAAGACACAACCAAATAAGCAATGTAATTTTTCAATATCATTCGAATAGTCCACAATCTCTCATTGTTTTTTCCCAAATATATCGATGAACAGTTTTTCACTCTTCATATTATTAAAATAAATGTTAATAATATTTCTTTTAATTATTTCACAAACAATAAAACACAAGGTCATAATTTATGATTTCTTCGAAAATGAAACATTAATTAATAGTCAAAACTAATTAAATGAAGTATTTAAAATTATAGTAAAACTTATTACATGTGCAAGTACGTAAAATGTATGTATAAGTAAAACTTAATTTAAAAATATTTCCAAAACTTTTTTTTAAAGATAAAGTTATTTAAAAAAATTTATCAACACTTCTAAAAAAAAAAGAAAAAAAAAAGAAGAGTGATTTACATAAAAAAATAAAAAAGGAATAAAATATTATAAGGAAATAGTCAAAATCATTGTATACCTGGACTTGAATCTAAAATTTCTAATGCAGCTATGGCAATACCAGCCTGCAAAGGAGGTAAAGAAGCAGAAAAGCAGTAACCAAGACCAGATAAGCGCTGCAATTAAAGTCATTTTTGTAGTTTTAATTTTTGAAATAATTTATTAAAAAAATTAACTGAATACAGCTTTTTAATCATAATAGTTTATAAGAGTACAAAATAGTTACCTTCAGATTCTAATACAAATAAAAAAAATTATCATTCAATTTTAGGAAAAACTTCAGTTTTAAAATTGATTTTAATTTAATTTTATAGACATTAATAAGTGTAGAATAGAAAATTTTTGATAGTGTTATTAATTTTCAACATCCTTAGAAATAAAACAAAAACTGGAAAATGAAAGGAAAACTTAGAAATATGATACNAAAAAAAAAAAAAAAAAAAAAAAAAAAAAACGAGAATTATTGGTAGAATCTTGTGTCTGACATACATAATACAGAAGTTCCTCAAATCAAAAGTAATTAAAATCAATGAAAAATAATTTAAAAATTGTTTGCTAAAATTATGCAGGGTAAGTTAAAGTAACGCACAACAAAGTTTAGTACCATCTTTTCAGTAAAATTACCAGCTTGAGAATTTTATTGAAATTAAGTATTACAGAGATTAGTTGAAATGCTTGTTTTTATTTCTTGCAGACAAAGTAACAACTAAATATTTGAAATGTCATCCTCTTTCATGAATGCTAAAGTGTCTTTATTTAACCAGATTTTGGAAAGACGAATTTTAGGTGTTGCAATTAATGCTAAATTTTTTTTTTCTTTTTCAAATTAGAAATGCCATTTTTTCAACACTTCATCGTTATTTTTCTCATGTTTTCTGCCATAAACATAGACTTTGTTTCAACTTCTCACAGATTTTCATTTTTCATAATGGAGAACCTATCAGCTCTTATCTTGTCAGTTACTAGTCTAGTTGTACTGAAGCTATCAATTAATTGCACCCTCATTGAGTAATTGTATATTTCTTTCAAAATTCGTCAGTGACTAGAAAATAAGATTCTTAAAAAAAATAAATAATAATAATAACAGGTCAATTTGAATATTCTCCGCTCCTGGTAAAACAACATTGTTTCCATGTACAGTAAACACTCTAAAAATGTGATCTTTAAGCACAAGATCATATACCAAACTATCATGGGCAAGCACCCAGCCCCATTATTCAAGGCTTTATCATTCAACAACCATGGCAGGAATACCACATCTGACCTCGGTCAGACAACGTGGATAGTGCCTGAACAGGTAGTCCTCTCGAAACTTCTACATCACAACCACAACAGATTTATTGTACAGTTTGCTGTGCATACACACTACTTTAGTCAGCTGCCAGGAACAAACTCACAGTCGCCTTTCACAAACAAATCGGGTGACACCTTTACAGGGTGCATAGCCAAATTATTCCAAAAAAAAAAAAAAAAAATTAANTCAAAAAATATTTTCAAGCACTTTAAAAAAATATCATAATTTGGCAGGGTTGGAAAGTTTTTGACAATTGACGGTTTTATTTTGTTTTAACCGTCATGTCAAAAAAAAAAACTTTTGGCATTGTTTCTGACAATTGTCAAAAATCATGAAATTTCGAATCATGCAAAACGAAAGGCGTTTTCATACGCTACGGATTGACAATACGCGGAAGTAGATTGGGGTTGAGTGAATTGTGAAAATGTTGAATAGAACAATGCGAACAGTGTCTTTTTGCATAATTCAAAGCAAAAATCAACATGCTAAAGAAAAAATCTCATTTTGAAAGAGGGAATATCAAGGACTTTTTAAAAACACCCAATGAAAAAAGCACCTTTAAGGGCTTTTAAAAAACGAAAATAAGCACCTTTAAGCACTTTTTAAAAACGCTATGCACCATGCTTTACAGAATGCACTACCAAAGTGCCTGAGCACAGGATCATGTTTATTGATTAGCATACATTCCAAACAACTACATTTGCCAAGTGGCACGTAAAAAAAATCAAGATTTAATGTGTCTATGCAGAATTATATATGATTTAAACTATGCTTGTATTAAACTTATCAAAAAATATTGTAAATTGTTTTTTTATTTTTAAAATTTTTTAATAATGGTTGCCTCCTTTGCTGTATTAAATAAATGTTAATGATGTTCAGCAAATTTTAATCTAATAGATTACTAGAAATAATGTTTCAAACAATCTATGTTATTTAATAAGGCTTTATCTATAAAACGGTTTGGTAAATTGCATGTCATCTGGCACGACAAACAAAATAATTATCATCCTTCCCAAATTTTAAACAGAACACATGTTTGAAGTTTCAAGGAACTTATCTCCTGCATATCATAGAATACAAGAAAGTATATTGTTAATAAGCTTATGGTCAAGAACACATATGAGATGGTATGTACTCAACAACACTGCATAATATTAGTCGTTCGTGGCTCATGCCTCAGATGGGTATGTCAGCTGAAAAAACTAAATTCCTTACTTGATGATCGACAATAAAAGATGTTCCCACACAGAATCCTCCATAACCAGGTATGGCAGCTTCAAGAGTTGCAGTAATAAGGTCTACATCATCTATCTGTAATGAAAAATAAAATTTAATGGATATAAATCTACAATGGATATAAATTTGGTAGAACTATTCCAATACCAGCTTACGGGAACATTGAAATGTTCAGTGACTCCTCGTCCTGTTTCTCCCAGTACTCCAAATGAGCATGCTTCATCAATGAAAAGACGAACTTTGAATCTCTTTTTTAACTCCAACTAATAAGAAAGAAATGTGCTTCATGAAAATCCGTTCAAGTAAACAGATTGCTGGAAGAAGAAATTATCTAAAATTTATTTTTTTCGAGTGTATTTTTTTTTTTTTTTTTTTTTTTTTTTTTTTTTTTTTTTTTTTTTTTTTTTTTTTTT